ACACGGAGCATGAGGAGACCCCATATGACGGGGGTGACTTCCACACTGATGAGGAAGACAACGATGAGAGTGATGCCCGATTTTCTCAAATGGGTGAATTGCTTGAGTGGTATCAAAAAGAGAAACTAAGGAGAGACCTTAGGCTCCAAGCAAGGCACGGCTCTCGTGGTGGTTCAGTTCAAGGAAGTCGGGGAGCTTCAAGGGCCACTCCAGCGGCGTCACAAGGTGGGAGTGAAGGAGGGTTTTGTGTGAGAATCTCCAAGTACCTCAAGGAGGCTAGGGCCTTGGGGTGTAACTCCTTCAATGGCACCGGTGACATTACCGTTGCCGCCGATTGGATCAAGAAAGTGAAGGATGCATCAAGGGATATGCAGGTCACACCCGACGTGAAGTTGACTGTTGCTTCACGTTTGCTTGAAGGAATCGCTTCTACATGGTGGGAGAGTGTAGAAGAAAGTACCGGGGGGCATCACATGGGCGAACCTCGAGCAGGAGTTCTACGCCCAATACTACTCCGATTACGAGGTTAATGTCAAGCGTAGGGAGTACACCAACCTTAAACAGAAGGAGGGTGGTTCTGTCAAGCAATTGGAGCAAGATTTTAGAAACTTGGCTAGGTTCTTACCGGAATACGCGGTCGATGAGGACCGCATGTCGGAACACTTTTGGGACGCCTTACTCCTGGACATCCGTGACCGAGCTACGTACTCTCGTCATATGACGTTTAGCGAGGTGGTGGAACAGGGCCTACTTGGGGAGGCTCAGTGGAATGAGAGGAAGGAAAGAGACGCCGAAGAGGCGAAAAAGAGAAAGTTGCATAAATCGGGGCTGCCCGAGCAATCACGAAAGAATAACCACGGTATAGGTAGTGGTTCGTTCAAGACGCCGGCATCACCGGAAAAGAAGAACAGGGATGCTCGTTTGCACTCATCCTCCTCTCGAAATACGGGACCTCCTAGGTGTGCCAACTGTTCGAATAATCACTTCGGGAAGTGCCACGCACCACCGAGGTGTTATCAATGTGGGAACACATGCCACGTGAAGGCTAATTTCCCACAATTGGGGGGAGGAGGAGCTCCCGGGTCCGGAGGGGGTGCTTTGACGAGTAGAAATCGTACAGGGCCGTCAAACGGCGGCACGGGAAGAGGTGGTGCATCAACGAGCCATGCCGCGTCCGTTAACCAAGGCGGGGCCCAAGCAAGGGTCTACGCGATGACCGAGGCCGATGCTCGGGCCAACCCCGACTCCGTTGTAGGAACACTCTTGATCAATGGAAGAAACGCAAGAATTCTCATTGATACCGGGGCGTAACGTTCTTTTGTGAGCGAAGCGTTTGCCGAAGGTCTTGACGTGCCATTGACGCCGATGACTCAGACCTTGTTAGTCTCCACACCGTTAGGAGATGATGTGGAGAGGGACCATTATTATGAATCGTGTGAGGTAGAAGTGACGGGTCAACCTTTGACTTGTGATTTCGTACCTCTAAGTATGTTGGTGTTTGATGTGATCCTAGGGATGGATTGGCTCGAAAAGCATCATGCTAGAGTTGATTGCTACACCAAGGTCTTAGAGCTTGAGGATGATAAGGGAAACACCATACATTTCGAGGGAGATCGAGGGAGATCTCAAAGTTGTATCATATATGTGATGAGAGCACGGAAGATGATGAAGAAAGGTTGCCACGCGTACCTTGCTTACGTGGTAGATGGGATCAAGAAGGAGGTCGACATCAACGATGTACGTGTTGTGTGTAAGTACCCGGACGTCTTCCCCAAAGACTTACCGGGGCTTCCACCCGATAGAGAGATCGAGTTCGTGATTGAAGTTGAGCCGGGAACTAAACCCATTTCGATTCCTCCTTATCGATTGGCACCGGCGGAACTTCAAGAGTTGAAAGTTCAATTACAGGAGTTATTGGATAACGGGTTCATTAGACCTAGTCATTCACCGTGGGGAGCACCGGTACTCTTCGTGAAGAAGAAAGATGGTGCACTAAGAATATGTATAGATTACCGACAGTTGAACAAAGTCACGATCAAGAATAGGTATCCTTTACCGAGGATTGATGACTTTTTTGATCAACTGCGGGGGGCTATGGTGTTCTCTAATATTGATTTGAGATCGGGCTATCATCAGTTGAAAATCAAGGAGAGTGACATACCTAAGAGTGCTTTTCGCACTAGATATGGTCACTACAAGTTTCTTGTGATGTCATTTGGTTTAACCAATGCACCGACGGCATTCATGGATTTGATGAACCGTGTGTTCAGTGAGTACTTGGATCAGTTTGTGATTGTATTCATTGATGACATCTTGATATACTTTAGGGACGAAGAAGAACATGCACATCACCTAAGGCTTGTGCTTGAAAGGCTAAGAGAGAAGCAACTCTTTGCCAAGTTCTCAAAATGTGAATTTTGGCTTAAAGAGATTGGCTTCCTTGGACATGTCATATCCGGATCGGGCATTGCGGTGGACAATGCAAAGATAGAAGCTATCATCAATTGGGAACGACCCAAGAGTGTGAAAGAAATACGTAGTTTCCTTAGCTTAGCGGGGTACTATCGTAAATTTGTGGAGAAATTCTCCGTGTTGGCGTCACCACTTACGAAGCTCACGAAGAAAGGGGTTAAGTTCGTATGGTACGACAAATGTGAGAAAGGGTTTCTTGAGCTAAAGAAACGACTCACCGAGGCACCAGTTCTTGCCCTACCCATACAAGGGATAGGGTATGATATCTATAGTGATGCTAGCATCCAAGGGCTTGGATGTGTGCTTATGCAAAACGGGAAGGTAATTGCCTATGCTTCTAGGCAATTGAGGAAGCACGAGGTGAACTACCCTACCCATGACTTGGAGTTGGTAGCGGTAGTGTTTGCGCTAAAGATTTGGAGGTTTTATCTCTACGGGGAGACATGCCACATCTACACCGATCATAAGAGCCTGAAGTATGTATTCACTCAGAAAGAGTTGAATATGAGGCAAAGGAGGTGGATGGATTTGATCAAGGACTATGACTTGATCATCGACTATCACCCCGGGAAGGCCAATGTAGTGGCCGATGCACTGAGCAGAAAGGGTACATCGGGGGTGTTACTCACATGCCTACGAGCGTTACGGGCACACGTGGAGGTGTCCTCGAGCGGGGCACTCATAGCGAGATTTGAGGTTAGACCTACGTTCCTGAGTGAGATCAGTAGAGGTCAAGGCATTGATGAGGAATGTCAGAAGGTCCGCGAACGCATCCTTGCGGGACCCGTTGAGGATTTTCGGGTACGTGATGATGGCCTTTTATTGTTCAAAGATCGCGTATGCGTACCACATAATGAGGAACTCCGGAAATCCATACTCGAGGAAGCCTATTCTTCAGCATATGCTATGCATCCAGGAGGTACAAAGATGTACCGAGACCTGAAGGAAAGTTATTGGTGGTCCGGTATGAAGAGAGACATCGCGGAGTATGTGAGCCGATGCCTTACTTGTCAACAAGTTAAGGCGGAGCATCAGCACCCGGTGGGACTTTTGCAGCCACTTATCATTCCAGAATGGAAGTGGGAACATGACACCATGGACTTTGTGGTAGGGTTACCACGGACGGTGAACAATTACGGTGCAGTGTGGGTGGTGGTTGATAGACTTACCAAAAGTGCACACTTCTTGCCTATCAACATCACTTATCCTCTTGAACGTTTGGCCAGGTTATACATGGAGGAGATTGTGAGGTTACACAGAGTTCCAATATCCATCGTCTCGGATAGGGACCCAAGATTCACATCTAGGTTTTGGCCAAAGATGCAAGCATCATTGGGGACTAAACTGAAGTTTAGCATGGCGTTTCACCCTCAGACGGATGGACAATCCGAGCGGGTGATACAGATTTTGGAAGACATGCTTAGGGCGTGTGCTTTGGAGTTCCAGAGGATTTGGGACAAACATTTCGCACTAGTGGAGTTTGCCTATAACAACAGTTATCAGGCGAGTATTGGCGTGCCTCCATGCGAAGCATTGTATGGGAGGAAATGCAGGACGCCGTTGTGTTAGGACGAGGTTGGTGAGGCCAACCTCAAAGGTATAGAGCTGATTGAGATCACCAAGGCTAAGGTGAAGGTTATTCGGGATAGACTTAAGGCTGCCCAAGATCCGAGAGGACTAACAATATGCGGTGGAACCGGTGAAGATAGTGGGTCAGAAGGTAAAGAAGCTTAGGAACAAAGAGATTCCTATGGTGAAGGTTCTTAGGAGGAGTGATCGAGTCGAAGAAGAAACATAGGAGACCGAAGTCTCAATGAAGGAGCAATACTCATTTCTCTTCGATTAAACACGTGGATTTCGGGGACGAAATCCCAAATAAAGGGAGCTGAACTTGTAACACCGTCCCCAATTATATTTACTTTTAAGTAAATAATGTAATGAACCTCGTCAAATGGTTAATGAATTTACGAAGTTGTAAATTTCCATTATTTCTTTCATGTGAATAGTATATTGCCCGTGGAACCCACACCAAGAGCGGGGGCCGCCCGACGTTACCGAAACCATACATTGTATTCATCTTGGTCTAGATAATAAATATATAGTGGTGGATATTTCATTTTGGCCATGGGAAGGCCCAGAGTTGACCGATTGGTCAAAAGAGACCCAAATTACCGGTACTGGTGATTTAACATATAACAGCCCGAAACGGATATCGGAGACATCTAAATTAAAGATGAGGAATGTATATTCATTCCAAAAGTCCATAATGATGGGAAACACATAATTCATTTTATTTGACCCGATAAAATAAAATATGATTAAAACAGTCCGAAAAATACAACTTTCGGGGTCGGTTGTACACTTCAGGACACAAAGGGATGACCTCTCACATGAGTGGGGGCCACCCCACGTTTTTGTGCACTCAATAATTCATATGAGGGCTGGCATGACAAGGAAGATGTGGAGGAGGACTTTTCCCTTTGGCATCAAAAGTACATAGGGGACCCCTCCCTCACTCATTTGTCAATTAAGACAAAAGTGAGCCATTCTCTCTCCCTCCAACTTATGTGCTCGGCCAGACCACCCAAGAAAGAGGAAGAAAAATATTTCCAACATTTCTCCATTGCTGCAACTCGAGCTCAAACTATAAGGATCCAAAGAAGGAGGTTTGAGAAGGGAAAAGTTAGGAAAAAGAGAGAAGAAGTAAGGTAATGACCTTGTGTTAACTTTTCCTTTATTTTTCTTCTACAATATGAGATATATGACATATGAGGAGACCCTAGGATTGTTCTACATGTTTAGAAGTGTAGAATGAGGGGTTGGAAGATATTTCTAAGTCCAAGAACGGACTTAGAAGCCAAAACGACCGGTTCGCCGGAAAATAACCTTTTAGGGGTTATTTGTATTGATATGGGTTTTATGATGATAAAACCTTGTTAGGAACTTGACTAAAGGGTTTCTAGAGTTCTCCGGAGTTTCGCCAGAGTTTCGCCGGAGTTTCGCCGGAGTTTCGCCGGAGTTCGCCGGAGTTTCGTCGGAGTTCAACCGAGGAGCGTAGAACAAACTTAAGCTCATTTAAGGTGAGTGGACGGCTTAATATCTTATAACTTTTGGGTTAATTATGAGATTACCTAAATAAATGTTATATGTGTTCATAATTATGTTTAAAAGGTATTTAAACATGTGATTAGCCAACATGGTTAAGTTTGTATGAAAGGAATTAATTGTTTATGCATGAAATATGTTATGAGGAATTATATAAAATGCATGTTTGCTTGAAGCGTAAGAGGAGCACAAATGAACATTATTAACTTAATTATATGATGATTAAGTTGATACGTATAAGGTTTGAAATGGCGGTCAACGAAAACGTTGACCGATGGATAATGGATTAATTGATACCGGATGGTATTAGTTAATTATGAAGTTATATAAACGCATGACTTTGCATGGATTGTGATACATAAGCTTTATGTATTGATTTAGCTATGAATGAATAAATATGATATAGATCCTATCTAAGTTGATAGGAGATTGATCATAGGATTATAAATTGGTGGAGGACCCTAGGACTTAAAGTCCTTAACACTCATATTTTGGTGGAGGACCCTAGGACTTAAAGTCCTTAACACTCGGATTATAAATTGGTGGAGGACCTTAGGACTTAAAGTCCTTAACACTCGGATTATAAATTGGTGGAGGACCCTAGAACTTAAAGTCCTTAACACTCGGATAATAAATTGGTGGAGGACCCTAGGACTAAAAGTTCTTAACACTCAAATACAAATTTGGTGGAGTACCCAAGGATTTTGATCCTCAAAACTCATAGATTATGATATTGAAGTATAGACAAGGAGGAGTCATATACACTCATAGGCATATGGGTGGGTTGGGGTTTTTAGTCAAGGATATTGACTATTAATATTTTCCCAAATATAACGGTGATCTACGGATCAGGTATTTTCCAAGTGTATATGTACTACTAAGTATTTCTTAACTTGGGGGAAAAGACTATTTACATAAGTATCACCCTATGTTTGCGTCTTATACTTGAAACGCTAGTTATTCTATATTTAGCCTGCCACTCGCTCGGTACTTGTACTGACCCCCTCGGGGGGGCCACCATTTCAGGTTGAAGTTAAGGCTTGTCATCTACACCTTTGCACGGGTGAAGAGAATCCAGAGAAAGACGTGGTTCGTGCTCCCTCTACTATTTCAAAAAAATAAACTATGCTCATGGATACTTTTGTATTAATACATTGTTTTGGCCTGCGAGCCTACGTTTTGGCCATGTGTGGCCCACGATTAATTGTTGAATATTTACGCTATTCAATTAATCTAAACTGTGATGTTGTTGTGTATGTTTACTACTGAGTATGGATATATTATGTTCATGGACGTCTTGTATGATTAAGACACGTTGACTTGCGAGTGACGTCACTTGGTCATACGGCGGTTGTACACGCGCCTAGATGCGGTCTGGGGCGTGACAGTTAAGTGGTATCAGAGCCATCTCAGTTCTAAACTATGTAATCAACCTCTCACGAGAGATTTTGCAAAAAGGAATTTTTACCGAAAACCATGAGCATTGTATTTTGACGTTCATAGAACTATTGTTACCTAGGTTGAAAGGTCTCTAATTGTTAAGATGGTACCCTTAACAATTGGTATGGCGGTGACTTGGGCCAATACGTGTCTCTAACGTTCTTCCGTCAATTGACATTGATAGGAGTCTAACGACTCATCCAAATCTTATTTCAGAAATGTAGGGTAGGCGAATGGTAACGAGGAACAATCCGAGGGGGCAGGCACCGGTAACATCCATGAGGGGTAGCCGGGTTGCATCTCGGGGGAGAAGAGGAGGTCGAGTAGGCCGTGGGGGCCACCGGGCCCAAACAGTGAGCGACGGCCACATAAGCTCGGTGTTTGAAACTAACACTGAGGATTATGACTCGACTTTTGTTCCCGGCACGGAGCATGAGGATACCCCGTATGACGGGGGTGACTTCCACACTGATGAGGAAGACAACGATGAGAGTGATGCCCGATTTTCTCAAATGGGCGAATTGCTTGAGTGGTATCAAAAAGAGAAACTAAGGAGACACCTTAGGCGCCAAGCAAGGCACGGCTCTCGTGGTTGTTCGGTTCAAGGAAGCCGGGGAGCTTCAAGGGCCACTCCCGCGACGTCACAAGGTGGGCGTGAAGGAGGGTTTTGTGTGAGAATCTCCTTATATGGATAGAAAAGACCTTTTAATTATTTAACATTTGACATTACTTATTTGGACTAGAAAGCATTGCATTGTAGATGCTCTTAGAGCATCTCCAATGCTACAATATGCACGGTGCACATGTGGCATGAGAGATAGCCACATAAATATTAGTAAATAAATTCTTTATTTATCTCCTTATTTGAATGGTTTTATGTAGTTTTGGTAAGTTTTTCTCAACAATGTCAAGGAGACCGTCTACATGTTGACATTGCAGTTGATATTGCAGGAGAAAATTTACCAAAATTGTATAAAATCATTCAAATAAGGAGAGAGATAATTTATTTGCTAATATTTGTGTGGTTATCATTCATGCCACATGTGCACCATGCAGACTATAGCATTGGAGATGCTCTTAGCGTATCTCCAATGTCGCAATGTACATGGTGCACAGTAGTATGAGAGAGACGATCAATAAAAGAAACTTTGGGATTGCTATGAAACATAAATATTAATGAACAATATCGCTCTTCTTATTTGAAAGGTTTTATATGTTTTTGGTGAGTTTTTCTTCACAATGTCCAGACTAGTGTGTAGATATAGACATTGTAGTTGACATTATTGTGAAAATCTTATCAGAATTATATAAAACCGCGGAAAGAGAAAGATAGAGATGTGAATGATTTGTTTTTATGAGTGTATATTTGGCATGTCAGTATGCGACATGTGCATCGTGCACATTATTTCGTTAAATATGCTCTTAGAATAGTTGACAATAAGATTTTGGTATTTGCTTCAACAAGTGAAAAGGTTGAAATTGAGATATGAAGAAGCCTTGATTGATACTCAATATTTTATTTATGAAGTACTTCGTAATAGTTAGCAAACAAATACCAAAACGAGGAAAATGCCTACATAGAAGTAAAAGTTGTTAAAATTCCCAAAAAAATGACTAGAGTTGTTTGTATTCATCAATCCGACTAAAAAGTCAAAAAAAATACATCCCCCATAATAAATAGCATGGCCGGACATGCCGCCCCCATAAAAAATAAAATGGCCAGACATGTGTGTAAGTTATAATTTAGAAAAATAAAGATTTAAGTAATATTATGAGAAAGGAAATCATTCTTAGTCATATGAGGGATAAATTTCTCATACGAAAAATAGTGGGCCAATTGGAATATTTTTTTAGATTAGGTGTACAAAGTGTGTAAACACGAAATTAAAAGGATTTTCTTACAAACTTGAAAATGGCAGTTTGTATACCTTAGGTCATTCATAGAGCATTTAAAAAGAATCAACCGAAAAATGTTGACAACATACAGATTAATTGTTATTCGCAACTTAAGTGAGGTGGTGAAGAGAATAATGAAACAAGTGAAACAGGAAGATGTAGAGGACATATGAACTATCACTGGGCAACTTCAACTCGGATTTTTTTGCAACTATGTCAAAAAGGTTAATCATGTCAAAAAAGAAAATGTCTTTCATTTTCGCATTCAAAACAGTACGAGGGGGTTTCAATCTAAAAATGGGAGGTGTGAAACCATCTGTAGAAATGAAGTTGACAGGGAACTTGTGAAGAAAATATTTTGGAAGCACTTACAATATCGGTAAAGCGAAGTGTTGTTCAAAATGCATTGATGAATTATAACAGTGAAGACCCAAAAACAAAACAACGAGATGGTGTTAACCTTGCTCTACTCCATGCGTTATGACAAGGCTTCTTTGGGAACCAAGTGAGAAGGGAATTACCGTCTATGTTGTCAATTTGGTTGAAATTTTGGATACATTCAATGAATATTAGTGGGAGTGATGTTTGGGGAATTAGATGTTTGATGATGTCACATTGCTAGAATGATTTATTACAATCCAGGTGTGGGCATTTGAAACCTTCACAGGCTCGGAGAGACAGAGATGTGCAATGCCATTGAAGGGCGAGAAACGAGAATAACATGAACAGGTAATACATATGACTTACGGAGTATTTATTATGGAGTACTTAACAATGTGAAAAACAAAAATTGCATTTAGCTTGGAATTGTGATATTTTTTTCTTCATGAGACTTTGAGCGGACAAAGATGGAGCCTACAAACTTGGGAAATGACAAATATCAAAATTTAGTGTGTAAGCAATAAATTGAGAAGTGGAGAATGTTTATTTGGTAAATTTATACTCCCTCCGTTTCTAAATCAAAGTCACACTTTACTTTTTTTGATGTTTCAAAACAAAGTCACACTTTCTTATTGACAAAGAAATCTATATCAAAACCGTGTACACTACAATAAAATTTACCCCTCAGTAACTTTATTTTCTTAATAAGTGTGAAATCAAAGTGTCACTTTGATTTAGAAATGGAGGGAGTATGTAGGGGTGGACTGGGTCGGTTCTACCCGGCCTGGAACTGGATCGACCCGACCCGGTTGCCCAGGACCGGGCCCAGGCCTAGGGGCTAGGGCCCACACCGGGGGGTGGATTGGGTCACGGGTTTGGAGTTCTTTCGGCCCGGCCGAACCGTGCCCGGTCCGAGCCAATTTTTTTTTATCTTTTCAAATTCTTTGGGAGGTAAATGGGTTGGGCTGGGTGTTTTGGAGGAATTTGGGGGGTGGGGTGGAGGGTAGGAATTAATTAGAAAAGCAACCTTATCCCAACATTAAAAAGCCCAATTTGGACCAGCCCGGAACCGCTCCATGCTTAATTAGTGCATCTCTAGCAATATAGTTATCATATGTAATCTATTACTCTCTATGTCTCATAATGTATGACTATGGTTGAGTAAAAAAGGGTAAATGAATTTGAGCCACACAAAAATTTTCAAAAAAAAAAAGAAAATGATAACTATTGTTTGGGACAGTTCAAAAAGGAAATCGGGAACTTTTTTGCTGGACGGAGGGGAGTATAATTCAATATCATATTTTAATATTTATACAATAAGTATGTATATACACATTCCTCATGAAGTGAATTATTTTCAAAAACGAAATAATGTCATCTAGTTATCTTGCACACACGGGTCGGTTATTATTAGGCCTTTTTATTTGAATATTACTAACTAAAAGACAAAAGACATTAATATGACTCTTTTTAAAGTTTTCCACAAATATGACCAAGGTACTCTTTATTTAATTTACTTTTATTATTTTAAAATACTTTTTTAATAATAAAGTTGTCATCCAGCCTTGATTCACCCACCGCCGACCCCTGCCACCGGTGCTCCGCCCCTACCATCGGTGCTCTGCCGCCGCCGTCGGTGCTCCGCCGCCACCGTCATCGGTGCTCCGCCACCGCCGCCGGTGATAGTGACTACCCAGAAATTTAAGAAATTTAATGCATCGCTGCCGTCGCCTCCCGCCACCTACTTCACCAGTCATAGTGACTTCGGCCGCAGTGACTAAGGTCATAGTGACTCCACCACCAAGTGACCTGCCGCAATAGTGACTGCACCGTCGGTTAGTCCAGTGACTGCCGCCGCCCCGATCAGTGAATCCGGCGCCACACTGACTGCACCGTCGGCTCGTCCAGTGACCCCCTGCCGCAGGTCATAGCGACTCCACCGCCAAGTGACCTGCCGCCACATTGACTGCACCATCGGCTCGTCCAGTGACTGCCGCCACCCCCTGGCCAGTCACTGCCGCCCCCTCCCCCGGCAAGGCACTGCCGTTCTCTGCCTCTTTCATTCAACCACCTCAAACCAACCATCCTGGCCGGCTAGGCGGCCACCGCACCCCAACCCAATCCCCAACCTTTGTCCACCACACTCCAGCCCCACCACACCCCGCCCCATCCCTACTACACCCGCCCCAGTCCCAAGAGTCTGCCCACCCCTACCACTGAACCACCTCCGCCCCTGTCACGACCATTCCGACCGGCGACCGCACCACAACCCAACCACATCCCAGCCCTGCACAGTTGCTACCTAGGACACTGCAATCCATCTCCTGCCTAGTTGTGGACTCGAGAAAGGTCGGGCCCGGCCCGGGCCTAGGCCCGATCGGGCCGCCGGTTTGTATGACAATGGCTCGGGACCGGCCCGAGGGTTGGGCGGGTCCGGTTCGGGCCGGGCCACCCGCCCGGGTCACGGGTCGGGCCACCCGTCGGGTCGGGTCGGGTCGGTTAAAGAATTTTTTTTATAATTTATATTTTATAGTTTATAGTTTTATACAAGTATTAAAAACAAACTTCAAGTGCATTTATTTGAAATGAAATAGGAACTACATTTGAAAATTAAAACAAACTTCAAGAGACAAACATTTTGTAAATTGTAATCAATCGGAACTTCATGCACCTCTCGATCCTTTGGCTTTGTCACATGACTTCATATGCTTCATTGTCATCCCGTATCCGCCTGAAACCCCCATGCTACATTTTTTCCCGCACCATTTAAGAGTTGCGTACCACATCCCGGTCTTGGGGTCCTTCTGCTTATCAAAATTATACCGTATAACGGCATCTTGATTTTCCATCTTAAGTATAAAGTAGATATATAAATAATAAATTAGTAGAGAATAGAGATTAGAGAGTAGGAATATTTGGAGAAGATGTGTAGTAAATTGTATAGAAAAAATGAAGTATTTATAGTTGTTTTGTACCCCTACCCCCCCCCCCCACCCCCCTAACCCACCCCTGGACCCCAGGAAGGCTCCCAACGGCTATATAGCCGTTTGGGTTCAATCACCACGGCTCTAAGGGCCTGTTTGGTAGCCAAAAGAAAAAAAATTAAAAATATAGTCGTTGGCCCAAACCGGGCCCGAACCGGCCGGGCCGGGCCTTCCTTTTTGTGAACCGTGCCCGAACCGCTAGCCTCCCCCGGGCCGGGTAAAAGCCCGCACCGCCCATTCCGTAACCGGGCCGGGCCGGATCCGCACAGTGGCGGGCCGAGCCGGTTCAGGGCCAGGCCGACCCGGTTTGGTCCATCCCTACTCCCGCCCCTGCCACTGAACCATCTCCGTCCAAAGCGGAGTCACCATCCTCCGAGACGATAGATCTGACACCGATGGCCCGAAGGACGGCGGATCCGGAATCGACAACATTAAAGTAGTGATGGATTCGGTTCGGGCCACCCGGCCCGTGACCCGGCCCGGCCCGGCCCGGTACTGTGCGGGCCCGGGACCGGCCCGGTCAGGCGGTCCGGGACCGGGTATGGGCCCGAACCGGGGGGAAGGGGTGGGGCGGTCTCGGTTCATCATTTTTGTGACCCGGCCCGGCCGGGTCGGGCCCGGGCCCAGGTCCGGGTCTATTTTAAAAAAAAACTTTTTTTTTTATTTTTGGCTACTAGCCGTTGAGGGCTTGGGGGTGGGGCTGGGGACAACCCAAACGGCTATATAGCCGTTGGGTGGGGTAAAGAGGGGTCCGGGGGGTTTGGCTGGTAGGGGGGGTGGGGGGGGTGGGGGGTAAAAAAACCTATAAATTCTCCTACTCTTAAACATTTTTTCATATTTCTTCTCCAATTCTTCCTAAATCCTATTCTTAACTCTCTACTCTCTAATTCTCTTATTCTCCAATATATTATATATCTACTCTCTAATTCTCTTCTCCAAGAAGTTAAGATGGAAAATCAAAATGTCATTATACGGTATAATTTTGATAAGCAGAAGGACCCGAAGACCGGGATGTGGTACGTAATTTGTAAATGGTGCGAAAAAAATGTATTATGGGGGCTTCAGGCGGATTCGGGATGGCAATCAAGCATATGAAGTCATGTGACAAAGCCAAAGGATCGGGAGGTGCGGGAAGTTCCGATTGATTACAATTTTCAAAATGTTTATCTCTTAAAGTTTGTTTTAATTTTCAAATGTAGTTCCTATTTCATTTCAAATAAATGCAATTGAAGTTTGTTTTTAATACTCGTATAAAACTATAAACTATAAAATATAAAATATAAATTATAAAAAAAAATTAACCGGCCCGGCCCGAACCGGACCCATGACCCGGGCGGGTGACCCGGCCCGGACCCGTCCAACCCTCGGGCCGGTCCCGGGCACACTGTTCTTGAACCGGCGGCCCGACCGGGCCCGAATCCATCCCTACATCAAAGATGATAGATCCGATACCGGCAGCCCCAAGGACGATAGATCCGACACTGGTGACCGTAAATACAATCATCGTTCATCCAGATGGCGAATCAAGCAGTTGTGGCTTCGATCAAGCGAGCACAAGCTGACAGGCAACAGAGGTGCAGTAATCGAGCAACGAAGCAGATGGATAACGTTCAGCTTGAAATTGGAGGAAGAAGAAGAAGCGAGCGGCAGCTGGAGCAGTGGCAGTGAGGGCATTGGAGTTTCACGTCTTGCATCCATGGCAACTCTGGCCGTGCCTTGCACGAATGAAGAGTGAAGGAAGGCAACGTCGAACGAAGAGAGAAGGAAGGCAATGTCGAATGAAGAAAGAGGCAAGCAGGTCAGTTTTTTGGAAAAATTTAGAAGTCATAAATTTGGAAATTAGAAGTCCATTAGTGATACACGTGCCATTTTTTCTTATTATTAATTAATACGGAGTAAATAAAAAACACCATAAACCCACGAGACTACGATGTTGCCTTCCATTACAATACATATACAAATACGAGGTGTGTTGCTGGGGGGTGTATTTATATACATAAAGTACATGTCACCTAATAATGGATGGAACTAATTGGTTAACTAATCAATCGACAGAATCCCAAAATTGCAGTTGAAGTCAACCAACTCTGCTGCAGTGCATAGGTTGCATGGGGTGAGAGAGAGTCGACGCCGGAATGTGAATTTCCACCGACACCATTGGAGCCAAGTCGCCCATTTCTTTGGGAGTTAGGGCATATAAATGGGTGCTCTCGTTCAAAATTCAGGCAAATTGAATGTAGTATTCTTCTTCCACCTGCTGTTGTAATAAAAGTAAGAAACACAACCAAACTGCATAGGTAATGAGGCCCCAACAATTTACCTATACAAGTATGTACGCATGTGTGTATATACATAGATAGAGTGTTTCAAAACCAAAACATTCTATATTAATCTGTTTTTTCATATTTAGCCATGTTGAGACAAATCCTTTAACAATAGGATAAACAGCCATCATCTATTACATTTCCCAAACTTTCATCAATTTGAACTAAAACATAAACCTGAATACTCCATAGTATCTATGCACAGAGAGAGAGAACACATCATTTTAATCAAACCATTTAAAAGAGCAGTGTAACAACTCAGATAATTATATACATGCATCAGGCATCAGTTAAAAAGTGAATCGCATGGAGTATCTGCCTGAAAAAATATCATGTTGTGAAGTTCTATAGTGCAGATATTGAAAGAGTATAAAAGTATGCTTTTATGACATGGTACACTGCATTTGGTCAAGGATAATCTTGAGGACTTGATTATGATAAAGACTAAGGGAAAAGTTGATAACAAGATAATATGACATACTAAAATGCAAGCTCTTGAGTTAAAAATAATAAACAAAAATGACCTCAGAAGCGTCTTTTCTGTTGGGGAGGGAATCCAGTCATTCCCATTCCTTGGTCCTTTCTTCTCATCTGAAATCGTATAATGAAGAAATCCATTAAAGATGTGCAACTTCAATTAGGGAAATGGAAGAAATACTTGGCTGAATACAAAAACCTGTTGTGGATGAGCCTGTGCGGCAACACCTCGCATGTTGCCGGGGTTCATCGTACCACCCATCCCGGCCTGAGAAGCAAGATTATAAGGGGGCATTCCCTGCTGTTGTTGCATTCGTTGCATGTTGACCACATGCATTGGACGGGGTACAGATCTAGTGGTCATTACATGAGGGCCTTGTATACCACCACCATGAACAGCAGATACCTGGCTCCAAGGTGGATGTGGTTAGCAATATTTAGTTATTTACATGATCAATCAGTGTATTGGTAGGACAACATTATGATCATGTTTCATGATGTACATGTTGATTTTCCAATATAAAGTATAAAGATTGCAATAGCACGTGACAAAAGCAACTCTCTCATGTAGTCAAGTTCTCAACTGATTACTGTCTCGTGATATTTTCAATGCAAGTGGTAATCAACTAGTAACTGTCTCATGATATTTTTAGTTTGAGGGGTAAGAAATCAATATCCATGATGGTTTTGAAATTTGATCTCCTTGTCCCTTCCTTAGAAGATTGTCAACTTGACTAAGCTAGAGAGCTTCAGAAATAAAAACAGCCATATCATGAATTGATGGAAGTCAATGATCTGGCTGATTTTAAATCATTGAGTATATAAAAAGTCTTTAAGTGCTCACTTGCTGATGTTGAATGTTACTTGTTCCTTCAAACTCCGTATTTGTGTCCACAGGACGAATTGGATAGTTGACAACTTTTTCTCCAGGTTGCATGGGCACAAGTGCACTATCACAGTTAAGTGGCATCGTAAAATAAGCATTTATAACAGCATATATCTTTCTAGGAGGGGTAGAAAGATAATAGATTACTAGAGATAAATAGCAAATGCAGGAAAAAGTAGTTCGCATAAGCCAATTTGAAGAAGGTTCCACTACCATGTACTTGTACTCCCTCTGTCCCGAAATCAGGTTGTTGTTTTCCTTTTTGGTCCTTCCCAAAATAAGTTTCAGATTTCCTTAATAAGTGTACCGATTCAAATCAGAACCTTTATTTCAGGATAGTGAGAGCAATTTTTTACTTGTTCATATTACCTTAGAGCTATTATTTTCTAACAATTAATTGAGGCAAGCGGAGCAGGTTCAGTTTTGGTAATAACGTAAAAAACTTTCACACTTTTGTGAATGTCAATCAGTTAGGTAAATGGGAGGTTGTAGTATGCTGGTATGTCAAATGGGTTAACTCGGTAGAAAAATCAGAGGTGGGAACAAATTAAATGGAACAAACAAATATGGAGAAGGTAAATCATACAGGAAAATTATAAGAGGTTTAAAAAGAACCAAAGGATATAAAAGACAACAAAAGTAAGTACTTACTTGCGGCCTGGTAGAGGTTCCACTCGGAAGTAACTACAGTCCAGAAGATATGAAAGTGAGTACTTAAAAAGACTACAGGGACCATAATATTAAAAGAAAAATCAATAATACCGAAAGCATGCACTTCGAAATTTCATTACATAAATGTGTAATACGATAGTATTATACAGCTTACAGCCAAAGCAATCCAGTGAGAGAACATTTATTAATACACAACACAAGGGGTACAAACTTCACTCTTGTTGGAGCATTGGTTCTATATTTAAACATTATTTTATGTTCTCAACATGTTGAGTTTGGAAGAAAATCACTTCATACAAACAAACAGATTCATTTATCAGCACTCTCCATAATTTTCCCCAAGAAATAAGTTAACAGAAAGAGATGCCTTCAAATAATTTGCACAGACAAAACAGAACAAAAAGTTAACGCACTTTTATGTTAGATAACTATAGTTTTGTGTTATTGTTTTCAGCTTACTCATCACCATAAAATTAAAACATACATATTTGAGCCTGAAGAATAAACCAAGAGTGTTCTAGTTTTCTTAGCTCACTTGCATTTTCTCATAGCACTCAAAAGTGGTTTTCGTTTGGGTTTAATTAAGTAAAAAAAACGGGGGGGCATTCTAAATGAAAATATGTAAAAGTGGTGAAGCTATAAAATAAGGCCTTTTCTACTATATAAAGAACGGAGGGAGAAAGAGTCCATCCATACTCGTGTTCAAGAGCCTGTGCCGCTGTAATCCGCTTGTGTGGATCATATCTACAAATGGCCAATGACAAAAAAAAAATGCAAGTCCGTGTTTGTTAACTGCAACAGCAATATACTCTACACTTAGATAAAGAACATATTAATATATCTACTCCATCACAAATTTGATCAAGCATAGAGATTGTGTGAAAAAAATAAAGTTTACAGCATACTCAGTATAAAGGAATTGTAGAGGTAACTTTTGATGATGTAAAAAAAAAACTATAGGTAGTAGGTACCAATCAAGGTCCAGGTAATATATTCAGCAGTAATAGACTAGAAAAAGATAAAGAAAAAAACATCCATCTTGAGCATAAAACATTTGAATATACAAAGAAGAAAATACAGACAAAACAAATTGAAGCAAGAACCAAGTATGGACCTTATGATACTAATATATAATTATAAATGTCATGGTGATTTTTTCCAGAATTCCAGGAGTAAAAAAATTGGAAATCAAATATACAGTTTCTTTATAAGTTAGGATGAGGATTGCATAACATGGACTGCGAATATGAAATTCACATTGTATTGAGTGTTCCACTCAGAAGATTGAGATGATACAATCATAGTGGAGCAGGACGCATATTTTAAATAGCAGTGCAAGGTGCTAAATCAATCAATGAAAGACAGAAAGGGAAGTTAGCTGTCAAAGAAACATTAGGAGGGAGATAGGTAATGGAAGTCATGTGTTAGTTTGTCACGAAACTGATAATATCTCAACAGAAAACCCCCTGGCTGAAACAAATACGTAGTATGAAATACAATGAGGGCATCACAACTCTTTTTTAAGTGCGTAGATGTCAACATATGATGGAGAACATTACAGTTTCATAGGATCTAAAATTAAAATCGCATTAAGATGGACACACATACTCGAGCATTTTTGAGAGGAGATCACATGCTGGATTTTTCGGAGAGAGGTGTACAACACTGTAAAGTGCAGGGTTGTCACTGAATAGAGAGAGGAAAAAAACCATTAACAATGAGAGCAGATGAAGTCCAAGCTTTAAAGTTACTACTTACTAATATAAGTATATCAAGGCCATATGGCTACCGAGTATGAAGGCACCTACTATTTGTGCGCTTGAATGTGTTGCTGGTCAGATTGCCAGTGTGGAAGATTCACAAGTATTGGCCACTTTTCCTGTGTGGGATGACCTGATATCATAAGTAGTACAAAGTTGCATTAGCTACTTTCTCTGCAAAACAATGGAGAAAGAATTCCAAAACATTTTTACCTAGAACCCTAAATATCTTGTCAAGTTGGTCAAGCTGCACGACCAATATTCCAGGTCAGAGTTATTCAAGATACGCCAATATAGAATAGTAGAATAACCAAAGAGAACATATTAGTTTTTGTCCTCATCATATAACATATTCAACAGAAACAATTTGTTAAGAAAAGTAAGGGAGAAGGAACAACATGTCATAGAACAAACACACCCCTCAACTTTAGTTTTAAATAATTAAACAAAAAATTGTACAATTGGAACAGATATACCCTTAAACTATACTCCCTCCGTATCATATTAGTTGCAACATTTGTACACTACTGTGACTACATTTTATTTATTAATGTATGTGAATTTTTTTTTAAAATATTTGTTTAATTCGTAATGTATTTACAAAGTTTCATAATTTGATTTTTTAATTTTTTTACTAATAGAGAATTAAATATAATGATGGTCAAAGTTGTGCATTGGTAAGCGTGAAAAAGGGCATGTTGCAACTAAAAAGGAACGGAGGATAGTATATTATGGAGCTTATACAACATTGTGTACAATAGTTGAGGCGTGTATATATATATAGAGAGAGAGAGTACTCTTCCGGTCAGGAATTCCTGACCGGAACCACCGTTCTGACGGCGGCATTTGGGGCCCTTCCCAGTTTTTTTTTTTTGATGAAATTTTTTTGGCATGTTCTTCATCAAGTCTAGTTTATCCAAAAAATCAGCTAAAAATTCAATCGGGAAGGTTGTCAAATGATTTTTGGAAGATAATTGTGCCAAAATATAGATATAAAATGCAGTTAACTTCCAAAAATTATTTGACGGCTTTCCCGATTGAATTTTTAGCTCAATTTTTTGTGGATAAACTAGACTTGATGAAGAACATGTCATAAAAATTTCATCCAAAAATTCCACCGGGAAAGCGGCCAAACGCCGCCGTCCGGAATTCCGGACAGGAATATATATATATAGAGAGAGAGAGAGAAATTCCAAGGTCCAGACCTCCCGGTCCGATACGCCGTCCGAACACCACCATGTAGGGCAGTTCCCAGCGGAATTTTTTTTGGTGAATTTTTTGAGCATGTTCCTCATCAAGTCTACTTTATACATGCCAAATTTCAGCTCAAAATTCGATCAGAAAGGCAGTCAAATAATTTGTTGAAGTTAACTGCGCCAAATTATACATTGAAAAACGCAGTTAACTTCAACGAATTATTAGACTGCCTTCCCGATCGAATTTTGATCTGAAATATGGTATGGATAAACTAGACTTGATGAGGAACGTGCTCAAAAAATTTCATCAAAAAATTCCGCCGGGAACCTCCCCAAACGGTGGTGTTCAGACGGCCTTCAGACAGAAAAATGCTGGACACGAGAATGACTCTCTCTCTCTCTCTCTCTCTCTCTCTCTCTCTCTCTCTCTCTCTATATATATATATATATATATATATATATATAAGAGATCAAATACAAACCATGCTTAAAATACTAACCTACAAACTTAATAATATGTAGCACTTTGAACTTCAAAATGCAGTAAAAATAATGTAAAGATGCAGGGTGAGATCACATTCAAACTAGTTCTCTCATTCAAATCATCTTTACATTATTTGTATTGCACATTGAAGTTCAAAATGTTTCATATTATTCAAGCCATAAAATAGCATTTTCATATTTACATTATTTGTATTGCATTTTGAAATTCAAAGACTGCATCTTTACATTATTTGTACTGCATATTAAATTTCAAAGTGTTACATATTATTGAGTTTGTAGGTTAGTAAATTAGCATGGTTTTCACTTTTTCATGTTTCGCTTGCACATTTTCTTGTTTGCGTTGCATTTTTTGGCCATTTTGATTTTGGCAAAATTCGACCAAAATGACGGTGGCAGTTTTGTAAATGAACAATTTTTTTTTTGAGCTACTGCGAAAAAGTGCAACGAAAGCAAGAAAAAGTGCAAGCGAAACATGAAAAAGTGCAAACTTTGCACGTTAAGACCACTTTTCATTTGAACCATTCCCAATATATATATATATATATATATATATATATATATATATATATATATAGTTTTAGGATCAAATGAGAACCATGCTTAACGTGAGAACGTGAGAACGTGAGAACTCCACTTTTAAGGAAGTGTGATGCACTATATCGTGTATATGTTGCACATTTTGGTTTTAAAAAAATATTTACAAATTCACCACAACATTTATTTGATGATGACATATTTTGACCAAAGTTTAAAAAGTGTAATAGATGATGCCCACAGTGTACCAAATTGTGTTAAAAGTGCATGGTTCTCATGTTCTCACGTTAAGCATGGTTCTCATTGGAACTGCTATATATAGAGAGAGAGAGAAGATCAGGTGAGATGTCCCCTTGGATTTACATCTAATCTTACAACGCAGTAAACTTATAGACTGAATATAGGAACTTATAACCAATAAATCATAACTTATAAAGCTCTCCATCATAATTACGGAAATGCCACTGCGTCAAAAAAATTGAAGGTTTCTAGAGTTATTTTTACGGTGGCATTTTCGTAATTATTCTCGAGGGGCCGATAAGTTATGATTTATTAGTTAAAAGTTCGTGTTTTTAGTCTATAAGTTAAACTTCGCAGTTCTCAGCCTAAGGGCACTTCTCACCTGATCCGCTCCCTATATATATACATATATATATACACACACACACACACATACACTCTCTAATATATAGTTCAAGGGTATATATTTCTAATTTTACTAATTTTGTGTTTAAATGTTTGAAAAAAAAAGATGGCAGGTCATATAGGTCAAGGGTATATTGTTTCTTATCTCAAAATACTACTACGTACTAACAAAAACAAAAGGAATACAAAAAAATCATACCTGAAATGGATTAGGTGGGACCTTCACTTCTTGCCCTTGAAAAAGTGGCTTTAGTGTAAGAAGCTCAGCAAATATGCAGCCAACAGCCCACATGTCTAATGATCCATAACAGTAAATAATTTTCCCTGAGGAAAAAATGGCAAAAGCTCCTTCTATTTATTTAATTTAAAGGATCACTAATCATACCAACTGCACTGGTATAGTGCTTTGCCCCAAGGAGTAACTCAGGTGCGCGATACCAAATTGTCACTACAACCTGCGATTAACCATTCCGCTTAGGATCCTTGAAGTAAAAGAGCAAGAAGCACGAACTGGTATAGAAAGCATTTCAATTTATATATTTATAACTTAGAATGGAAAGTGAAAAGCTGGGGAGGGACTTCTTGTGATCTCTTTAAATGTATAAGCAATTCTCATATGCACCAAAAAAATAAACAAATCACCCAATTTGTCCTACCCCATTTTCAGAAAGTGGCTTTAGTGGAGCCTGGTAAATTCTTGCTAGACCAAAATCAGCAATTTTTAAAACTCCTTGTTCTTCCCCCTCTCCCATGACCTGGGTTTGAAGTTCATTAAGAGGAACTTATTAGTGGAAATAAAAGATAAAGAGAATATAATAAAAATGTTACATAAATACAACAAATAGATGCAAAAGTCCCAAACATACCAGGATGTTTGATGGCTTTAGATCTCTGTGAACGATCCAGTTACTGCATCAAAGTTTCATATCTATAACAGGTATGATATTAAGAATAAACTTAACATAGGAGCATGATAAATTTTACTACCTGTGAAGATAGTTCAAACCATTAAGCAGCTGCCACAACAAGGACTTAACGGTGTAAGTATTTATTGGCTGGTTGACCTTGTCTCGATGATGTCTGATTATTTCCTGAAGTAGTGATTTTACAAAATATTTAGAAAAGAGATGACCCATTAATTTAGTAAACAGGGTACAAGTTTCTATTCCATTTTCAATAATAACTTTGTGCATTATACTAAGCTCATTCGAAGAAGAATATATTAAATCACATAGTTGTAGAAATCATTTAGCAACATCAAACTAAAATGCAGTGGTTTTGGAAATGGAAGAAAGAAAATTATCTCCAATATTTCCTAGAATCTCTAGGAAGTACTAAGGCCAAGAGCAATTTCACCCAACATTAATTTCACTTTTGTAGCTCCATCTCAAATCTCAATAGCCAAAGTTACCTCTAATTATTTTCAAGTTAGGTGATTGAGCCATTATATTAACAAAATATAGTTCATGCAGGACATTGTGATTCTTTTCTTTGAGTTCTCTCCATTACTCACACCCAACTCCAACCTCATCTACTCGCTCAGTCCCTCCTAAATTGTATGTTTATGCTTCAAAAACAAAAATGATGAAAAAAGGAAACTTTCAAACAAGCAGCCATTTAATTCAAGCAGAGTGCATCTTAAATGAAAGCCGGATATTTGTAGCTCCACTTCAAATCTCAATAGCCGATTAGCCGCGGTTACCTCTAATTATTTTCAAGTGAAATGATTTAGCCATTATTATTAAAAGAAATGGTTCATGTTTCTTGAGACTGTGAGCGCACTAATTGGGCTACATAAAAACTACCACTTTTGTTAACCACTTAGACAGAATATTGTGATTCTTTTCTTTGGGTTCACTCCATTATTCACACCCAACTCCAACTTCCTCTACTGGCTCGGTCCCTCCTAAATTGTACTACGTATTTTTCTATTTGGATAATAAAAATGATGGAAAAAGGAAACTTTCAATTAAGCAGCCATTTAATTCAAGCGGAATACACCTTTAATGAAAATCGGATTTTTGTAGCTTCATATCAAATCTCAATAGCCAGAATTACCTCTAATTATTTTCAAGTGAGGTGAATTAGCCATTATTTAAAAATAATAGTTCATGTTCCTCTAGACTGTAAACACACCAATCGGGATACATAAACACTACTCCCTCCGTCCCAATTGATTGTCTCATATTTCCATTTTGGAGTGTTCCAAATTGATAGTGTGATTTCCCTTCTTGGCAAACTTTGGATATAAAATGTCCACTTTAACCTTACTTTAGGGTAACTCAATTTTTAAAGGGATATCTTAAACAAAGGTAATTGAGAAAGTTTATACCACATTATTTAATTTTGTGCCAAAAAGGTATGAGTATTAATTTGGGTCGGAGGGAGTACTATAAAAGTAAACTGTGATTATGTTCTTTGAGTTCTCTTCATTATTCACACCCAACTCCGACTTCCACTACTCACTCGGTCCCTCCTAAATCATGTTTTCTACTTCAATAGTAAAAATGATGGGAAAAAAGAAAACTTTCAACAAAACAGTACTTTAATTGGAGTACACGTTTAATGGAAGCTGAATGCCTAGAAGGAGTGGAATGAAGTATTCCACCTAAATTTGATCTACCCTTCTGGTACATTATAGAGCTGCAGTAAGACTATTGACTATTATTTCAAAAGGAATGGCCAAACCGCGATACTTTAAAATTCATCAGTAGCCAAGGTGATACAGAATAGTGTTTAATTGGGTAACTTACTAACTTGCAACAGAAAATGAAATATCGTGAACATGAATTCTGCAGCTTACAAATAGGAGAAAAATACAAGTACCAAATCAAAAAGGAAAAAGCAATAACTTACATAAAGATCATGCTCAGCATAGTCAAAAGCTAGGTATAATGACATATCTACAAAGTTGATGTGCACATTCACCAGTTTTATAACATTTTCATGGGATATCTCCCGGAGCAACTGCATAAATTTTTTTCGTCAGTAGAGAGAAAACGAATTATTAAAACACAAGCATAACTTCTTCGCAGAAATAAAGACTTCTAAAAGTTAAGTGACAGGATTTCAAAAATAAACTCTGTATAGGTATGCGGGAACAGAGTGAACTCTTTCTCCAGGAACTTCATAAGAACAGCAACTGATCATCCAAGACAATAGGAGAAACAGCATCTATCCTTTTTTCATGGTATTTAGAAGCAAGGTATACAAGTTAGACAGCTTTCCTGTGTGCCACTTACAACTTTCAAGCCTTTGTATTTAAAAAATTATGAGAACTTTGAACAGTTTCAGCAAAATTTGAAATTTTAGAACATGGTGATGCAAAAAACACAAAGATTGGCGAAATTACTAGAAGAAATAACAAGGGAGGGGCAAGGGAACCATGATTTCGCGAATGGCAGTGGGGGATACACCATCCCCGTCCTTGGACTGCTTGAACTTCTTAATAGCGATGGGTTTGTTGCCGCTAGATTTGAGCTTAGCCAAAAACACCAGTCCATACGTTCCTTCACCGATTTTACCTAAGAGATCGTATTGTTGCAGCCACTCCGGCCTACTAGCGCCGCTTCCTCCCCCTCTACTGCTGTTGTTTCCATCTCCCATTGGTCTTCGGTTCCTTAGTGGTTCTGTTCTTATGTATCTGAATCTTTCTCTCTGATTCTTATACAGCTACTATCCCAACTGCGTGTTTGCAGTCTTGAAAAACAATAACAAAAAGATAAACCGGTAAGTGAGGGTCTGAATTTCCAAACCTTTCCAACAGCGGAAATAATTTATAAAAATCTACTCCAATTGGTGCTTACAACTTACCTTGGAGGTTCTGGAAGCAACTTTTTGCCTTCCTGGGCGAGAATGCGGGATGAACTGAATCGAAAATTTGGGCAACAGATTCCAGTTCGGTGGCAGTATTAATTTTGAGATTTGAAGTTTGAAGCAACCACTTGTTTATCGAATGGAAACAGCAGCTTCTTTTATTGTAATAAAAATCAGATTTGGGATGAGATATGATGATAAAAATGTGCACTCGATTCAACGGCCGAGGTGGGTGATCTCAGTATTTCATTTTTGGAGCCTTCTTTAAAAGTACAACCCATCACGGTTTCCTTTCCTATGTGTACAAAGCAATATGAGATCACAATTTTGGAGGATCTTTTCATATAAAATTATTTTTAATTCTTGGATAGCTTGTTTGTTTTAAAGGAAATCACCTATATTTATATCAACTAACTTTCACCAATTACGACCGTATGTTACGATTGAATATAGAAAACGATCACTCCTGAAAGAGCAACATGAAACGTTAATTTAATCATTTGTTTAACACAACTATCATTGATCTTATAAAATCTACTTCAATCGGTGCTTACAACTTACCTTGGAGGCTCTTTATACTTCTAATGACATAAAAATAAGTTAAATTTCAATCTATCACGAGCACATTAGGATCTTTTAAAAACAAATCTTTTATAAAATGACTAGGAATCACATTAGGATTATACTCCTAGTATAACAAATCTTCTATAAAATGACTAAGAATCACATTAGGATTATACTTCTAGTATTATACCACCTCTATTTATTAACTGCAATAATTTAATATATTATTATTCATTCACACACTTTTTGAATGTATTTTATTTTTTAAAGTATTAATATATCAACAAATCATAAGAACTATTGTTTTTTAAAAATTTAGTCAACACAAGTTTTTAAAATATGATATCACACAATTTCAATTAATAGCTAATTGCCTATATAAAAAATTATATTGTTCATTATCAAGCGTGAAAGTATAATGACTGCAATTAAATAAGGAACAATTTATTGTTATTATTACATTAAACCAATGTATATGTGCGGGCGCACGCTTGCTATATTAATGTGTAAATATATCTATATTTCTATATTTATATTAACATTAGAATTTCTTACTATATTTATGTTCATGATTACACTAGTTACTAGCTAGTAATATTTATATATCTAGTTCTATTTATAGTACAAGTTATTTAGAAATAGACAACCTAGAATGGCATAATTACTTTCAAACTAATTATGTTGATTCACTGGACTTCTTAAAAACTGATTCAAAGCAGTAATTACAAGTGATTTTAGAACTTTTTTCAAATATTTCGGTATTTTTGTTGAAAGGAAACTCATTTTAATTCATCTCAATTTCTACCAGCGTTTTCTGATAGATCATTTACAAATGTCTGTTCTACATCATTGTCTGACGTCATTCTTGCCATTAAATGAGCAACTATATTGCCTCCTCTTTTTACATGTGAAAATTCAACAACATGAAACTGAGAGCAAAAATGATAAATAGATCCAAAAAACCGTCTCATTAAATATTATACGTTTTTCACATAAAATACATTTATGAAGCATTATTTGACATAGAAAATTAGAAACCATAAAAACTTATAGAGGGGTTTAAATGTTAAGTTTGTCTCATTATTAATCTGATTTTTTTACTAATAGAGTATTACGTAATATTATACTACGCATATATTAATGGTTAAAATTTGGAAAAAATCACATAAATAATCTCAACTATCAATGATCTTCTCATATTAATCTCAATTATCAGTAATTCCAATATAATCCGAATTACCGTGAGTATCTTCTCAAAATAAACCGATAACCTGAATAAATCAGTTCAGCAGGTCACCTGGACACGTGTTATATATTTATTGGTTAACATTTTATTCCATGTTTTCTTTTTCTTTTCTCTCCTTCATCTTTCTTCGCACTGAGGTTTGGGCGGGCACACTAGCGTTTCAAGCGAAACGCCGGCCAATCCTTGTTCAACCGTCACCATTGAGACCGACCACCGGTTGTAGATCTTTGATGACCGGCTGTTTGTTGCAGTGGCTCTTCGAGGACGGCTGTCCGCTTGTCCGTATGCCCGTCTTTATCATCGATACTCCGTCAATCTCTGTTGTTCTTCGACGTCGTCCCTTGTCCATCCCAAATGTTCTCTGTAGCATCCACCCATTCTTCCCAGCTGGTCTTGTCTCCAACGTTTCATTCGTCTATCTCCCAATCAAACAATTTCAGATTGACCAAATTAAACCTTCGAAATCTGAAATCGAAAAATGAACTGCAAATTGGAGGTGCAGATTCAGAACGAAAGAAAGGAAGGAAATTTCCATAGGAGGTGGAGGGAGAAAAAGAGAGAGACGGAGGAAGCATGGGGAGTAAAGAAAGTACAACGGCGATGAAGCACTGTGAGAGACGACGAGGAAGCATGGTTGTTCAGCTTTTTTTAATTTTCTTTTTACTTTTTTTACCTGTTTAACAGGTTACAGGTAACCTGGATCAATATAGGAAGACCTCGGTAAATTTGAAATTATTTCACAATTATGTATATTTAGGATTAATATTAGAAGACTCCTAATAGTTGGGATTATTTATGTGAATTTTTCCTTAAAATTATGCATTATCAAATGTGAAAAGTGGGCTAGTGCCTGGTGCACTTAACTTATCTTTTAGTCAAGTTGGTAACTTTCTCTTAAACATTCTTTTTATAATACTACCTCCGTCCCTTAAAACTTTGCCAAAGTTGATCGGCACGGAGAATAATAAAGTAAAAATTGTGTGGTTGAGGTTTGTGCAGAGGAGAGAGAAATAACATAAATCACAAAATAATTGATTAAAAGGGAAAGTGGCAAAGTTTTTTGGAACGTCCCAAAAAGGAAAGATGTCAAAGTTTTAAAGGACGGAGGGAGTATCTAAGACTGGAGGATGAAGTTTTTATAATACACGTATCTATCAGGTCGGTTCACCATACCACATCATTAAATATAAAATACTCTGTAATGAGTACTAGCTTTCAAACCCGTTCGATGCATAGGCAGTATGTAATTTAGCTAATTTGAAATTTAATTTCTATCGGATCACATATAATGTGATTTAAAAGAAAAATAAACTTAGTTTAATATAGAGTCTGTTTGACAATACTAAAGTAAATAGAATTAACTTATTTTGCTGAAATTGATTGAATTCTGGTTAAATAGGTGAAATCTTCTGATCTTGAAAAATATATGTGAAATATATTCCATTTGTGAAACAAAGAAAAAAAAATATGAAAAAAAAAGTTAAATTGGTCTTCTACATGAGCATCTCAAGTAAACATAATTGTTATGAACCCAATAATAAAAAAAATCTATATTTCTTAATTGTTAGATCTTACAGTTTACTCATTAATAAGAACGTTTTTAATTGAATTAAAATTTCTGGTTTGATTTGGTTATGAATTAATATGGTCTATTAGATGTCTGTTTTTTAATGTGACTTATTGTTATAATTATTAAAGTTTGATCTGATCTGATTTAATCTGGAACTGAAATCAATCCAATTAAAAACATTCTATTAAAATAAAAGTAGGAATTCGTAAATCTATAAAGATTTTCTAATTTGGATTAGGAATCTATTTCAAAAGTGAAGGCATATTTGAATTTTAGGTGTAAAATAAAGAAACAACCAAAAAAATTTACTTATTTGGCTAAGCTAAACATATTTACTTGTGAAAATATATATACTTTATGTTGGTTATAATTTTTAATTTCATTTTTAATTATTCACTTATTTGAAGCTTACTAATTTTTTAATAGGTGTCAAATTAATAAGTAAATTAATTTGCATATTTGTTTCTATTTAATTCGATGTAGTAAACTAATATAAATTATTTCCATATCAATAAACGTTATTAGAATTTCACTTTGATAACCAAAAATTATTTTACTTATTTGAAACTTACCAAATTAATTAAGGTGGATTTATAAGAATTTTTGTTTCCATATCAATATGCAATCAAAAATAGAATCTAATAAAAACAAAAGGTATAAAAATAAGTAAATAATTGTTATATACCAAATTAATTAAGGTGGATTTATAAGGATTTTTGTTTCCATATCAATATGCAATCAAAAATAGAATCTAATAAAAACAAAAGGTATAAAAATAAGTAAATAATTGTTATATATAATGACATCACATGGCAGGATTATGTGGTGCTTTGTATGTTCTTAAAAAGTTCGTCTTTTATATATATATTGATTTCAAGTCTGAAAAAGACTATATGGAAGCAACGGTTTGCACTAGGGAGTTAAATTCATCGACATAATTTGATGGGGACTAAACCTCAATAACCAAAAATTATTTTTCCTTTATAGAAGAATCACATATCGTTCATTCATGGCACTTGAAAATTATATGCCAGATTCATTTGTAACCCTTTGAGGCCTGGACTTGAAATATACTTAAACCAATCGACATTTGTTTAGTTAACATGTTTATTACTCTGGTCCCAAATGAAATTCACTTTCCTTTTTGGGTAGGTCCAAAATAAACTTCAGACTTCTTCTCCCTTCCTTATTTGACAAATTATCTACATCAAAACAATGCAAAACAGTGTTAAACAGTGTCAAGTAGTGTCACAACAGTGAACTCTACAGTAAAGTCAAATTTATTTCCTTAATTTGTGTGAAGCCAAACTGTGAATTTCATTTGGGACCGGAGGAAGTACTAAAAAAACAGGTTTATTAAATTATAAATTTAAAGCATATGAGAAATACATAAACCCCTACTCAAATACATATTTTTAATATAATAATATGTATATTTTTTAATAGGGAAGGTCAAATGTGTGGTCATGAAACAAACATATGTGATTTATGAATGAACTCATAACAATTAGATGGGTCAATACATATTTCCGCATATAAGATCTTGAATTAAAACAACTGATATATAACAACCGAAATACACGCATACACGCATGGGTATAGCCATATACATGCCTTCTTACATCAGAAACATAACAACGTAGAACATACAAAATATTTCTATGTTAACAAAAATATCTTTGAGATTTGTCCTACAAACCTCAAAGATATGAAAGTAAATTGTCACAGACATTACATTCGCAAAAGTAGTATTTTAAGGCCAAATTAGGCATGAGAGTTAGCCCGGCCAAATTAGGCACGAGATTAGCCCGATTGTTCGTCACTTTCGATTGGATCGGTCAGGATCCAAAAGAAATGCATAACAATTTGAAATTGCTAGACTTTTGAAGCTTTGTATTGGTTTATTTTCAAAGCTTCGTGTCGAATTTGGCATGTTTAAAGCTCATCTATAGTTTATCTCGTCTTTGGGCATTTGCATTTTGTTAGGTTAGGTTTCAAATTTTCAATCAATCAATTTCAGTCTAGCAGCTTTTCCAAGCCTAGGAGTAAATCACCCTCAATGGAAACTAACAAGCAACAGCAAAGAGTATCATAGTACGAGTATCATACTATCATGGATTCAACAGCAAACAGTAGTCTGCTTTGCCCAACAGCCCAACTCTGACTCTGATGGAGGTAATAGTAACACCATTTTGCATGTATAATTTAGATTGGTTATTATATAAACGTATAAAGTTATACAATTGTTTTTAATAACAAATTTCAATTTCTTTAAACAATGAGAAAGTTGGAAACATGATATGATAAACATTAAAACAAGAAACTCAAAATTTTCAGTACCGTGTTGGAATGCAGTTGTTTCAGAAACTTGAAACAAGACTACTACCATCTAGGGATGGATTCGGGCCGGGTCGGGCCCGGGCCGGGCCTAGGCCCGGTCGAGCCGCCGGTTCGTATCACATGGGCCCGGGACCGGCCCGAGGGTTGGACGGGTCCGGTTCGGGCCGGGCCACCCGCCCAGGTCACGGGTCGGGCCACCCGCCGGGCCGGGCCGGGCCGGTTAAATATTTTTTTTTTAATTTATATTTTATACTTTATAGTTTTATACAAGTATTAAAAAACAAACTTCAAGTGCATTTATTTCAAATGAAATAGGAACTACATTTGAAAAATAAATAGGAACTATAATTGTTTTTAATCGGAATCTCCGGCATAGATAGAGTCACCCTCTGTTGTAGATTCATCCATAAAGTGTTGGGATGGAGTGATGTCAATTTCTTGAGCTCTACGTGCTGCTTTCAACCAATCGTGGTAGCATATAAGCATCTCAAGAGATTCAGCGCTCAACCTCGTTCTGGTTTGTGTTAGAACATTGCCGGCCTAACTAAATTTTTGTTCCACGGCAACCGTTGAAACCGGCATTGATAGCACTTGCTTAGCCATCTTTGCTAAAACCGGGAACATTCTTTCTTTTCCCTTCCACCAGTTTAGTACGTCAAAATCATCATCTTCTTCAAAATCAACATCATAAGTTAAATACAAAGAAATCTCATTAATTGTGCTTTGTTGTGTAGCGGGAGTTGATTTTGTTTTTTTAATAAGATTGGCAAACGTAGATTTGAAAATTGATTTTCTTTTAGATGATGTTTGTGTCGGGGGAGGGGGCACATTGCCATATTGTGCATGAAACTCATTGAATAATGCATAAAATATATCACTAACCTCGTTGTATTCTTTTTTCGGATCAATTGGGTTGTCCTCATACATTGGCAATGGACCAAAAAAAGCAGCATAATAATAATTCAAACATTCTTCTAAAGAACCAAGTCTAAAACGAGGATCGAGAACAAATGCAATATCATAAATATGCGGAATATGTGAATAATATTTTAAAAACTTTTCCTTCATAAAACCAGCAAAATAACTCACATAATCAGCATTCTCAAAATTTGAAAAAGCACCGGCGAGATTAACAGCTTCACGAATAAATTGGTTTGAGGTAGGTTTATAAACATGACTAAAAGTTTCAGTTGCATTATTAAAATATATCAAAGCATTACAAATTTTTTCACAGGTGTCGATCTCAGCCGAGTTTATAATATAGTTATCATATTGTTTCATAAAAGCAGGAAAATGTTGTTTATATCTAAGAAGAACTCCAATTAATTTATAAGTACTATTACAACGAATAGACAAATCTTTTGGAAAAACCACATATCTCTCACCTCTTTCTATCAAATAATCATGCCATTTTTTCCTAAGTTGTCCATTACCCCAAATACGTCTAATCCCCCCTTGACTACCTCCAACGATGCTCCCAACGCTTTTAGACCATCTTGCACACATAAATTTAGAACATGACATTCACATCGTTGATGAAAAAATCTACCCATCAAAGAAGTAGAACCACACAATTCACGCAATCTAGAAATAGCAGCAGTATTATTAGTAGCATTATCAAAACCAATAGCAAACACCTTATCAATTAAATTATACTCAATTAAAATACGTTCAATCAAAATATAAATATGTTCAGCGGTGTGACGATCATTAAATTCACGGAAAGCAAGAACATGTTTATGCATATGCCAATCATTATCAATATAATGTACAGTCAGACCCAAATAATGTAAATTATGATAAGTATCCTCCCATATGTCAGAACATACAGTAACACGTCCATCAAAGTTTGCAAAATAATTTTGTAACCTTACCTTTTCCGCACCATAAAGCCTTGAAATTTCTTTCTTAACCGTTTTGCGACTATAACCTCTATATTGCGGATTTAAACAAGTTTGTGCATAATCACGAAAAGCAAGACTTTCAGAAAACAAATAAGGCAAATTTTCTTCAACAAGTAAGTTAGCCATACCTGTCAAATTTTGTGCATCATTGTATGAGAAATTACCAAAAGCTTGTTGGTTATTTGCAAACCTCGATATTTGCGTTTGCTTCCCCGTTCCGCCGCCTAATTTTGCATACTCCACCGGGTGTTTGGACTTAAGGTGTCTTGTGGCGGATCCGTATCCGCCGGAAATCCCCAAACTATAGTTTTTCTTGCACCAATTGCAAGTTGCGGACTTGCGGTCCAATTCCCGGTGTTCGGGTCCTTCCACTTAGAAAAATTATTAGCCATTAATTCAGATTTACTTTTTTTTGTACCTGTTTGGGATGAGGCTGCTTGGTCGGCGTCATGGCTGCCGCCACCCTCCTCCTCCTCCTCGTCGTCGTGGCTCTCCGGAATTGCTTCTTCCACATCGTCGTCCTCGTCCCTGAGCTCTTCTTCGTCAATGGTCCTCGGTTGGTCTTGAAAAAAGCGGGAATTATGTCGGTGCAATTCTTGTTCTAGTTGTTCGTCGGTCATCGCATCCCCATCCCTCCTTACGTAACCCGTATCAAAATCATCTTAACTTTGAGATGAAGAGCCGATATGTGATTTACCTTTGCGGGATCTCTTCCTCGCAAGCTCTTTCGTTCGGTTGCGCTCGAGGTTACCCATATCAACCGAATATCTAGGACGATCCATCTAAACAATGTAGCGATTAAAAAATATAGAGTCAAATGTAGCCATTAAAAATGTAGGAATTAACTAGTTTTGTGTACAACATATTTTTTAAACTAGAGTCAAATGTAGCCATTAATAAAAAATTGTAAAAAACTAATTAACTATTTATCTAACTATTAATTCGAGTTATAGCAAATTAAGTAGTGAATTAACTAGTTTTGTGTACAACATATTTTTTAAACTAGAGTCAAATGTAGCAATTAATAAAAAATTGTAAAAAACTAATTAACTATTTATCTAACTATTAATTCGAGTTATAGCAAATTAAGTAGGAATTAACTAGTTTTGTGTACAACATATTTTTTAAACTAGAGTCAAATGTAGCCATTAATAAAAAATTGTAAAAAACTAATTAACTATTTATCTAATTATTAATTCGAGTTATAGCAAATTAAGTAGTGAATTAACTAGTTTTGTGTACAACATATTTTTTAAACTAGAGTCAAATGTAGCAATTAATAAAAAATTGTAAAAAACTAATTAACTATTTATCTAACTATTAATTCGAGTTATAGCAAATTAAGTAGTGAATTAACTAGTTTGTGTACAACATATTTTTTAAACTAGAGTCAAATGTAGCCATTAATAAAATATTGTAAAAAACTAATTAACTATTTATCTAACTATTAATTCGAGTTATAGCAAATTAAGTAGTGAATTAACTAGTTTTGTGTACAACATATTTTTTAAACTAGAGTCAAATGTAGCAATTAATAAAAAATTGTAAAAAACTAATTAACTATTTATCTAACTATTAAACGAGAGTCAAATGTAGCAAATTAACTAGTAACTAAACAAGTGTAAATAATAGAATAATTTCGTACCTCTTTCGGACTTTCGGTCTTTCGGATGGGAGTAATAGAATGACTTCAAATTAATTACATATAATTCCAACTATATTAATAGATATAATAAATATATAAGTAATATATAATTAGATAACAAATATAAGTAATATAATATTATTTATATCTATTTATAGTTTATATAAGTAGATAATTAATATAAACTATAAATAATAAATATAATATATTGGAGAATGGAGAACAAGAGAATTAGAGAGTAGAGAGTTAAGAATAGGATTTAGGAAGAATTGGAGAAGAGATATGAAAAAATGTTTAAGATTAGGAGTATTTATAGGTTTTTTTACCCCCCACCCCACCCCACCCACACCACCACCCCCACCAGCCAACCCCCCGGACCCCCCCTTTACCCCACCCAACAGCTATATAGCCGTTTGGGTTGTCCCCAGCCCCACCCCCAACGGCTAGTAGCCCAAACCAAAAAAAAAAAATTAAAATTAGACCCGGGCCCGACCCGGCCGGGCCGGGTCACAATAATCCAGCACCGAGCCCGCCCCGCCCCTTCCCACCGGTTCGGGTCCAGACCCGGTCCCGGACCGCCCGACCGGGCCGGTCCCGGGCCTGCACAGTACCGGGCCGGGCCGGGTCACGGGCCGGGTGGCCCGAACCGAATCCAACCCTAGCCCAAACCAAATTTTTTTTTTTAAAATTAGACCCGGACCCGGGCCGGGTCACAATAATCCAGCACCGAGCCCGCCCCGCCCCTTCCCACCGGTTCGGGTCCAGACCCGGTCCCGGACCGCCCGACCGGGCCGGTCCCGGGCCCGCACAGTACCGGGCCGGGTCACGGGCCGGGTGGCCCGAACCGAATCCAACCCTACTACCATCAAACACTTCTTGTTTTTGTTTTCAAGAGATGAAAAAACAAAAACAGGGGAAAATAGAAGAACATTACCAGTCAACACATATTTGTCAAGGAAACAAGGTTTGAAATTCACAAAGGCACAGATCTGGAATTTACAATGATACTGATCTTCAAAGTGCATAGTAGCAACACCAATTGCTGTTTACACTTATCTGGAATAAGATTCGGTTTCCAAGGACAGAACAACCTTGATGGTATTTACAAGCGAAAGTTCAAATAATATACTGTACACTTACACATACCACTTCACTAACTCAAAGAGCTTTCATAACTACTTTGCTGGTTGTGTGAACGCCCAAAGCAGCAAGTTTCAGAACACTTCGACTGCTGTACAACCTGCAAAAACACTCCAGTAAATATGACTACTCTTTAGGCAAGTTTTAGAAATTTATCAAATCAATACAACAACATTGAAGCCTTAGTCCCAAAAGAGTTCAGCAGAGTTGACATTGTATGACACAAGAATCCAACAAATAAAATTTATCAAAAGGAACCAAGGAAGAAATTTAGATTCAAAAACTTACCCTGCAAGAGCAAGTCCCCATGTAGAGAAAGCATAAAACAACTTTCCCGCACTCCAAATGTTGAGCATTGCTTCCAACTTGTTCATGCCACCCAATGCTTTTTTCAGCGCTGCAATTTGAAGTTCATGCCATGTGATTGCAAGATCTCAGGAATGAAAAATACACTGGCATAACATAATCCTATAGCAGTATGTATTAAGAAATACCATATGAAGGAGAACTTTACAGAATACTACATGCATCCCACTAGGATTGCTATATAATAAATCAACTAATAAATACGGAGTATATTGTATTGTAACACATATATGCTACTTACTAAATATAATAATAAGTGAACAATCAGGCTTTTATATGAGTAATCTAAATTGTAGTAATCAAGTTCAATCGGAACCTAAATCGCCTCAAACCATTCATGAGCCGCTCGTGGATCGTGAATACTTAACAAGCCAATTAGTTGTTTCTTTTATCGTTTATCTTCCTTATCTTTTTATATTCTTATGTTATTTTTATCTTCTAGCTTTTTTATGCTCTTTTATTTATTTTTCTTTTATCTTGGTTATATTCTTGTGTTATTGTTATCTTATATTTATGTATCTTTATTTTATTCATTTTATCTTACTTTTTTTCTTTTTCTTGTCCGCCTTCTCTTTTTGGCATCAATATCATAGATCGATTCATGTTAGACGACCCCAAATTCTTTTGGGATTAAGGCTTGGATGTTGTTGTCATGACTCGCGAGCCGGTTCGCGAGCCGTGGTGTGTGTGTATATACATATATTATATGTAATAAATTATAATTAGATATATATATAATATTTTTGGAATATTTATTCTAATTTAGGATTATTCTATTTGCAATATTTATTATATTCTAATAGTACCAATTAAATATGATACTAGTAATATTTATTATTAGTATTATAACCATAATCTATAATAATTATAATATGAAGTATGTTATACTCCCTCCGTCCCAAATTTATCTTCCAAAGTACATTTGGCACGGGGATTAAGATATTGGGTATTGTGTGGTGGAGAGTGGTGGAGAATTGTGCAGAGAAGAGAGAAATATGTAAGAATGTGTAAGAAATGTTGTGAACCATAAATTCTTTGCCAAAAAGGGAAAGAGGAGATAATTTTGGGACGAACGAATAAGGAAAGTTGGAAGATAATTTTGGGACAAAGGGAGTAGTTATTAGTTTTTTCTTTAACTCATACAGAATAAGGTATAAGTACAATTTGAGATCAATACTAACACAACCATCTCAGCAGAAGAGTTGGAATTTCCCTTGGAGATGAAACTGGCCACCCTAGTTCAAATCCCTGAGTTGGCAGATTTTTTGGAACATCTTAGAGCATCTTCAATGCTACAATGTGCACATGTGTCATGAGAGATAGCCACATAAATATTAATAAATAAATTTTTTATCTCCTTATTTGAATGTTTTTATGCAGTTTTGGTAAGTTTTTCTCCACAATGTCAAGGAGACCGTCTAGATGTTGACATTGCAGTTGACATTGCACGGGAAAACTTACCAAAATTGTATAAAATCATTCAAATAAGGAGAGAGATAATTTATTTGCTAATATTTATGTGGTTATCTTTCATGCCACATGCGCACCATGCACACTATAACATTGGAGATGCTCTTAATACACCATATCTTTTAAACTTTCTCATGTTTACTTTTCCCACACCGGTAAGTGAGGAGAAGATATATCTGGCATCCATCTATAAATTAGCTCATCTCCGATATATCAATAATGCACCGGGCAAGCAGCACAATTGCTGAGTTCAAGATAAATGCTTGAGCTGAGTCGATCACGATCGGCTCGCGAGCTTTAGTCAAAGCATTCGAGTCAAACTCGATTTTAAATATTTAAGCTCAATCGAGCTCGAGTTGAACTCGAGCATGTACGATATTCTTGAGCTCGATTTCGAGCTTATGTGAGTTCGGGCTTGGATCGGCTCGTTTGCACCCCTACGCCTTAGACCTTTTAAAACTAAGGTTAAGAAATTGCTCTAAGTAGGAGTCTTGGTTTTAAAAGGCGAGAGGCACCTTGAGGCGATTCCTTTGATTTACCCGAGTCGCGAGGCGCAAGACGGTGAGGCACGCGCCTCACGGAACAACCCGTATCCCATATTTTCTAGAAAGTGAAATTGCAAGTGAAATTGTTCCTATTGGTAGGATCCGGTATCCCATGTTTTCTAGGAAGGTCTCTAGCTTCGGAACAACCCGCGAAAGAAGTTGAATTTGAGTCCATTGAATCCCTAACAAATATATGGTATTGATAGAAATAATCACAATATAAACAGTGATAAATATATGTTAATTTGAATAATTAATGTAATAAACTGTGATAAATTAGTAGTCATTTTGTGATAAATTAAATAATTAAGTTATATAAAAACTGTTAATAGTAATTTAAATAATTAATGAAATAAACTGTGATAAATTAGTAGTCATTTTGTGATAAATTAAATAATTAAGTTATATAAAAACTGTTAATAATAATTTAAATAATTAATGTAATAAACTGTGATAAATTAATAGTCATTTTGTGATAAATTAAATAATTAAGTTGTATAAAAACTGTTAATAGTAATTTAAATAATTAATGTAATAAAATGTAATAAATTAATAGTCATTTTGTGATAAATTAAATAATTAAGTTATATAAAAACTGTTAATAGTAATTTAACTAATTAATGTAATAAACTGTGATAAATTAGTAGTCATTTTGTGATAAATTAAATAATTAAGTTATATAAAAACTGTTAATAGTAATTTAAAATAAAAGAAGATAAAAAAATAAGTAGACTTACCTCTACCGGCTCTGCAACGCGTGATAGAAGGATTAGAAGCGCAAATAAAGTCGGAACTGGGAAGCAGAGTTACGCAGACCAAACGCAGAAGGAAGACCAAACGCAGAACGGCAGAAGGAAGGAAGAAGACTAGAGAACTTGGAGTCTTGGAGTTTGATGGAGTGAGGGGTGAGAACCTTACCTTGTCAATTTATAATACCACCGCAGGAAATTTCTGGAACCAGAATTTGAATCGCCAAAATAATAGGAATGGGAATCGCCAGCAATTCAACGGAGACATCCATGAGGCGGAAAAGGCGCTCACCTCTCAGCAGCACAAAAGGCGCTAATAAGCGCGATAAGCGCACGCCTCTTAGACCCTAAGCCGTCTGGCTATGTAAAAGGCGATGACCTCTTCGCCTGTAAGAGCCTCGCGCCTTTGCGCGCCTCAGGCGCGTTTTTTTAAACTAAGGTAGGAGTATAGACAATTTGAAATTCCAAAATAGGAGCATTATAGTTGTATTCCCTGAATAGGAGAAATTATTGTCGTGCTTCAATTGTTGCATCAATATTGCCATATTAATTAATGCGAAAATATGGCAGTAGAATTTCGAGATTGAAGTAAGTTACTCTTGCTTAAAGGGGAAAACATACTACTTTTGTTTTGGAATTTTACAATGTTTTTACTCCTGTATCAGGAAATTTCTTAGTTTAAGGTTCCATAAAGGACACACCTATATATGTGTGTATTCTCTCTCATGTTTTGTTATTTCTTGCTCATCATCTGTTTGAATAGAGAGACAAACGTAGACATGTATTGCCTCTGCCTGTTCCATTTTCACTTCCATTCATTTCTTCTTGTAGAGCACTGTTTGTTTTGCTGTCAAATCAGCTACTTTGGTTGGGATATAGAAATGGCAAGGCGGACACTTGAATATGTATTTATGGCTAACTAAGTTGAGTTTTAAAAAGCGTTTATCAGTATTGGAATAGCTCCATAGATTTTCATGTCTCCCATTTCAAGCTTTTCCTTTAAGAAATGATTCCCGTCTTGAAGAGTGGGACAGTTTCAAAATGCATATATAAATTATAAAGGTTAAAGGTTTATGATGAAAGGCTAAAGCTTATGGTGCTAGGCATAGATGCTCAAGCCTTAAATTATTTAAGTTATTGCAATCTTTAATAGACTAATGAAATCGCATGGAGTGATAAAAAACAGGGAAGCGCAAACTTACTCTTTTGAAGCTGCTGGGGAGTCATGCTCTGCAATACGGAAAAACTTAAGAAGTAACACATACAGAGTATTTCACAAAGAACTAACTATTACAGGTTAAAATCAGGGAGGTCTCTTGAATGTCAGTTACCTGAACTTTCCTGTTGGACATAATGCATCTAGCCATGAAGTTTGCAACTGCATCTACAATCAGATCCTCGTTAACAATTACATAACTTTCGTTATCAATTCCACTCCTTTCCTCAACATTATTGGGAGCCATATCATCTGTTACCCAAACCCACCGACTTGGTTCTTCGAGATCAATCTTTATCAGAACCTCAGCCGTTTCCATGTCAGAATCTAGGGAAATAAACCAACACAGAAAGTCTTGGATAATCACAAAAGCAAAAAAACTTAAATTTAATCTTTTCGAATTACAGAACATCTGAATGATGATATTCCAGAAGGTTTTTAGTTTTTACAACACAAACAGAAGAAGAAAAACAGGAGAGGAGAGGATAAACGTCAACCTGATGCCTCGTTGAAAGGAAATTTACAAACATCCACAGGTGCTGAATTTGGATTGAGATATTCCAGTTGCTTCAAAAAGTTCCCAGACTCGACAGAAGCAATAAGCCGATCATGGAGCTGAAAAGGATGAAGTTAAGAAAATTTAGCTCAATTTAGGGAGAAACAGCAAATACTTTTAGAAAACTTGTTAACATTTTGTTTATTTTCCTTTTAAATGTTCATACATCTGAAGGGCAATCTTGCAATAACTTAGGAGATTGTAGAATAGGCTGTAGAAGCTTTAGATTTTGTTCAAGCAGTTGCCTTAATCGTTGATTTTCTGATCGCAAGGCCTCCAAATCCCCTTCCACTCTGTTTGATTTCAGAGATGGTGAAGACGGCGCCTCCTTGCGGCCGTCGCGGTGATAGTGGTGACAGCATTCAACGGCAGTCCATGCCACGTCGGCGACCTCCAACACCGTCTTCGCCACTTCAATCGGATGATGAACTTTCATGTTTCTCTCTAAAAAAGCATCTCTGGTTGTGATGAATATAAATAAAATAAAAAATGGTAGATTTTCAGAGATAACAAGTAAACAAACCCTGGTTCGTTAGGGGTATGTTTGGTTTTGCCTTTTGAGGGGAGACGAGAAGGCAAAACATATAAGCATAATAATGCACTGATAATCTCGTTTTTAAAATTAGAATAATGTTGTTGTATAAGCATTTCAAACTAGTCATTCACATTTTTAACATATGTTAAAAATTGTTTGTGAATATGTAATATCTTTTAAGATCCAAAAGGTGGGAAAATGAAAAATATGTAGTTATCACTCCATATTCTTCTGTTTTCAAACACTTTTTTTAGTAGTACCTTAATTAATGAAACATTGTCCTTTTATGAAAAGTTTTATCTATCAAAATATTTGAAATATCATTTTACATTCTACTTTGAAATATCTACCTCAGTGGTAAAACGGAGGCAGTATTGTACCAATTTTTGTCCTTATGTACTGAAATGGTTGAATAAGTCGCACCTATAAACATGACAACTGACATGTGTAACCGAATTGGGTGACGTCTGCTTTGGGACAACTGTTACGTAGGGTGACGTAATGTTGAATGTTGTGATATCTTAATGTTGAAATGTCTAAGTCCACAATCTCCATTTGAGGTCCCAAGCTCGGTCGCAGAGGTCAAGCTCGGGTGTCATGCATTTAGCTAAGAGGTTGGGAACCTCGGCTTGATATGTGAAGTGGTAATACCTTTATAGTAAGCCACGCGTATAAACCTGACAACTGACATGTGTAACCCTGAGCTTGTGAAGTGATGATTGGCCTGGGATCGTCGCCAACCTCAACGAGGGTCGACCTCGATCTTGGATGCAATTTCAGACTTATCTCTATGAGCTAAAAATTTGTTTTTGAGCTTGGCCTCGATGAGCCTGGTCTCGACGGGAATCGCCTTAGTGAATTTTGGGGATCTCTTATCATAAATGTTGATACCCCTGATATATATGGCAATATACTCTATCAATTGTGTTGTACATTGTTTCACATAATATATCACTTTATGTCTTTATATATTCCTATTACTTTGAAATGAGTGTTGTTAAAAAATCATTGAAGGTGTAAAATAAAAATATTAGAAAATGAAATTATAAAAATAGAAAGCCCCATCAGTCATCACTATAAAAAGCTCTACATCTTTCTAATTGAAAGTACTAATTCTTGTTTTACATAAACAGAAAATTAGGGGATGACAAATAAGGATATCTTTGGAATTGATTACTCTTTTGTTTCATTTTTAAATTCGAAAATAAAATCAAAATCAATTTTTCAGAAATAGGTTTAAAAATTGCTTTTAACTCCGTCATGAGATCATTTTTTTGGTATCATGCCTGTCCCAAGCCAGGATAAAGGAGGAGGGTGTCGTGGTAGGCGCATGACGGCCAACAGTATCACTTAGTCACATCACATGACATGAATCGAAATATGAATATCGCTACAGCTAGGTCGTCGCCTGTAAGCGACGCACCATCCCTCCGCCTGGGGGTGGTGTCAGATGAGAAAGGGCACGCTACACTTCATAGGCCTGGGTGTGGTGATAAGAATGTTAAGGCTGCTAGGTTGTCGCCCGGAAGCGATGCGCCACTCCAATGCCCGGGGATGGTGTCAAATATGCAAGGGCATGGTGGGGGTCGATGTGAGTTGAAGAAGAGAAGGCAGGGTGTTAGATTGCGCTTTGGGACATGGAATGTTGGCTCTCTTACGGGAAGATCATCTGAGATAGCCGAGGTTATGAAGAGGAGGAATATCAGCATAATGTGCATGCAAGAAACTAAGTGGGTTGGAGAAAAGGCACGTGAGATTAATCCCGGAGGTTTTAAGCTTTGGTACTCGGGGAGAGAGAGGAACAGAAATGGAGTAGGCATTATGGTGGCACATGATTATGTTGACGGTGTGGTTGAAGTGTTCAGGAAGAACGATCGCATCATGAGCATTAAGTTGATAATAGGGGATGAGATCATGTCCGTGGTTAGTGCCTATGCACCACAAGTGGGATTGGATGCATCTATCACTCAACAATTTTGGGAGGATCTTGAGTAAGTGGTGCGACGAGTGTCAAGGGGAGAGAAATTGGTCATAGAAGACGACCTCAACGGGCATGTGGGCCCAAGTCGTGATGGTTTTGAGAGTGTCCATGGCGGACATGGTTTTGGCACTAGAAATGAAGCGGGGAAGAACATTTTGGATTTTGCCTCGACATATGAGTTGGCTGTGATGAACACTTGGTTCAAGAAAAGAGACTCTCACCTTGTCACCTATAGAAGTGGAGCTAATAGTACCCAAATTGACTACTTTTTAGTACGGACGACTTGGAGAACTAGCTACACTGATTGTAAGGTTATCCCAGATGAGAGTGCTGTCACTCAGCATAGGATGCTTGTGCTTGATTTTCGAGGTAAAAAGAGTGGACGAGTTAAGGTACAAGGAGAGCCAAAGATAAAATGGTGGAGGCTCGAGGGGAATCTCCAACAAAGTTTTGCACACAAAATGTTGGAGGAAGATGTTTGATCTATTGATAATGATGCACACGTGGATGATGTGTGGTTATCAATGGAGTCCACTATTAACAAAGTGGCGGAGGAGATACTCGGAGAATCTAAAGGATGTCTGCCACCAAAAAAGGACACATCTTGGTGGAATGATGAGGTGAAACAAGTAATAAGGGCCAAAAGAGAATGCTATAAGAAATTGGGCAAAAGTTGGAGCGACGAGAACATAGAGGAGTACAAAGAGGCTAGAAGAAGAGCAAAGAAAGCTGTGAAGGAAGCCAAACGAAAAGTGAATAAGGAATTGTATGTAAAGTTGGATTCTAAGGAAGGAGAAAAAGATATCTACATACTTGCTCATCTTCATGACCGTAGGACTCAAGATATCGGAAAAGTTAAGTGTGTGAAGGATGTCGATCAAAGGGTACTAATGGACGATGAAGAAATAAAAGAGAGGTGGAGGTCATACATTGATACCTTGTTCAACGGGAATAAAGTCCAAGGTATTGATGATCTTACTGGACCAGAGTGTATGGTAAATAGGGACTTCGTGAGAAGGATTCAAACAATAGAAGTTAAAGAGGCTATGAGAAAAATGGGCCGGAAGAAAGCAGTGGGCCCAGATGGCATACCAATCGAGGCTTGTAGAAGTTTGGGAGAGAAATGCATCGAGTGGCTAACACGTTTCTTCAACATGATTTGGAGAAACAACAAAACTCCAGTGAGTTGGCGTAAGATTACTCTCATTCCCTTATTTAAAAATAAGGGTGATGTACAAGAATGTACTAACTATCGAGGGATTAAGCTTATGCGTCACACCATGAAACTTTGGGAGCGAGTGGTTGAGCAAAGACTACGTAAAAGTGTGAAAATTTCGGAGAATCAATTTGATTTTATGTCTGGACGCTCAACAACTGTGGTTATTCACCTTCGTAGACAAGTTGTGGAGAAGTATAGTGACACTAAAAAGGATCTGCATTTGGTGTTCATTGACGCATATTGGAGGGCGCACATAGTATTTCCTCTCTTGTTCATACACAAGTTGCCCTCTACCTTTCCTCCCTTGTTTCTTTTATCATTTATCTTCCTTATCTTTTTATATTCTTATATTATTTTTATCTTATAGTTTTTTTATGCTCTTTTGGTATTAAAGATTGGATGTTGTTGTAGTTTTAAAAACTGCTTTTAGGGACAATTTTGAACACTTACAAGTAGTTCAAGATTAAAGAAGTTTGATCTTTATTTACTGTTGTGGTTCTGATTTCTGAAGCATATTTTACCGTGTACTTGCACAATACAATGATCTGGGTTAGTGCGGAACTGCGGACTACGGCCGGCAAAGAAAGATATAGTACAGCCTTCATTCAGCTCCGATATGGGATTGGTCGGAAAATGGGGGACGATAGCGGCGGTGGTTGGGATAGCGGTGATGCTAAAGGTTCTGAGCAAGCAGTTCGGATGGGAGGTCAACAAAGACGCTACTCTTGATTGGTTCAAGCAATTGTCTGATCGGCTCGGTTACTGGGCGATCCCGGTCTACGTCGGCCTTCACACGATCACCCTCGCGCTGTGCCTTCCGTATGCCATCTTCTTCGAGGCCGGCGCATCTATCCTCTTCGGATTCTTCCCTGCCGTCTTATGCGTCTTTTCTGCCAAGCTCCTTGGCGCCTCTCTCTCTTTCTGGATCGGCAGGTACACCTCCTTGATATCTGTAATAGGTTTAAACCTTGATTGTTGTGTTTTAGCTCAATTCCTTGTTCAATGATGCATTATATTTGATCATGTATGTGCTGATTGGTTTTTATATAATACCGTGTGTTTTAGGTTCAATTTTTAAAAAAATCACAAATCTAGTTTGAAATTTCAGTTCCTTCAAATAAATTCAGCTATGACCTTAGATAATTGTAAACAATGTGTTTTCCTATCCATTCAGCCTGTGCTAAACGCTGGTTTTTGTTTTCCACAATTCCACAATTAACATGTCAATACACATCATCATACCTTGTAGAGAATCCATATTAGAATATTTTGGTGCTGCTTCTACCTTACCTGACCGAAATATGCTTACATGTATGCTTAGCATGGTAGGTTGTTCTGTCATTATGCTTGCACTAAAATTCAAAACACAATCCAGCCATGGCAGACTGAGAGAACTAAACTGATCTGAAACTATAACCGTTACTCACACGCTCCATTTTCAACTGTTTAGGATGTTTTTACTTGGACTGTAATTCGTCCCAGATCAGATCAGACCAGACTTGAATAGTTATAAAAATACAAAGAAACCAGACCAGTTCAGATCAGATAAGACCAGACCAGACCAGCAAATTACAGTCCAAGTAAAAACATCAACGTAAAAATTACATCAAGATAGTGAAAAATGTGTTGTCAAAGAATGTTGAAGCAATGAGAAATAACATCAACTACATATTCTTTTCCGTGTGATGAGATTGAAGATAATGTTATGATGGAGAAAACGGAAAAATGAAAATAAGGAAGAAATAGAGTTGCTCAAAATTTTGAAGTTCATGATTGCATTTGTGAAATTGAATGTTAAAACTAGATTAGTGGGTTTCTTGAGTTATCCTAGAAATTTTCGGAGTACTCAGTATACCACCTCTGCCCCACTCTATTTAGACATGAAGAAGTGACATGCATATTAAGAGAACATTAAATTTGGGGTTAGTAATAAATTAGCAAAATGTGAACACATTAATATTACCCAAATATAGTATGTGACACTCAATAGGACGAACGTAAAAAACAAAGATAGTGGGATACAAAAAGTAAGTCATTTCTGCTTCCCTCTACAAATCTATGGCTCATTGCTACTTTTCCCCCAGGGAAAAAAATCCAATACCTAGGCATCTCTCTCTAATTGAAAAAAGCTATGCAATAAAACAATGGGCCTTTTTGTTTGTGTTTTCCAAAATCACGTGAACAAACATATGCAAATATGCAATGACCCTGTATCTCAGCATTTTGTGTGCTTTGCAACCATGGACACTGATATTGTTCATTCCTCAGGATTATGTTCAAGAGATCGACCTCTGCAATGAACTGGACACACAGTAACAAATACTTTAAAGTGCTTTCTAGGGGGCTTGAACGTGATGGCTGGAGATTTGTTCTTCTTGCCCGCTTCTCACCTATACCCTCGTACATTATTAACTATGCATTAGCCGCCACAAGAGTTAGGTTTGTTTTGGACTTCCTTCTTCCAACTGCGGTTGGCTGCCTGCCTATGATCTTACAGAACACATCCATTGGAAGTCTTGCTGGTGCTGCTGTAGCTTCTGCATCAGCTGGGTCCCATAAATCTCAGCTCAGGTCTTATGTCTTTCCCATTCTCGGCATCTGCTCGAGCATTCTGATCTCCTTGAGGGTTAAAAAGTACTCCAAGGATATCGTTGCTGCTGATGATGCCATGCCAAGTGATGATGGCAGGGATGACAGTAAATCTGTTAGGTCTAGTGTAGCCACAAGTAGCACTGTAGCAAGCGAAGTCACAAAGAGAGGCCAAAGATGAGCCTTGTTGCTCTTCATTAGGATACTCATTCCATTTCCCTACCTTTTCTATTTCAAACTATGAATTGCTGACTTGTTGTTGGTTAGTTGACTTAGTTCCAAAGAATCAGTAGTTTTTAAGGTGTCGAGAAAATTTGCACAACAGAGACCAGATATACATTTTCATTTTGCTTTCAGTCTTTCACTAAGAGAAAACTATATCATGTAATACATTCAAGTATTTTATCAATATAGAGATTTTTGTAAATTGCAATTTTATACATGATCCCCTAACTCACATACATTTTCTTTAGTGTTGGACTCGGATCGGGCCACCCAGCCCGTGGACCAGCCCGGCCCGCTACTGTGCGGGTCCGGGACCGGCCCGGTTCTCGGGTCCGGGTCCGGCCTAGGCCAGGGGGTAGGGCAGGTCCGGGCTCGGGTCTCACATTTGGCGAACCGGCCTGGCCGGGTCGGGCCCGGGCCAAATAGATTTTTTTTTCATTTTTGGGGTTCCACCCAGGTTGGGCTTTGATGGTTAGGATGGGTTTGGGGGGTTTGGGAGGGTGGGGGGTGAGGGGAGGGATTAGGAAAGCAAAAAAAAAACCAAACCGGAGGCCTGGCCAGGCCCAGCCCAGACCCGGTGGTTACCCGGGCCGGTCTCAGGTCCACCATTCTTGAACTGCCGGCCCGCCCGGGCCTAGGGATGGACTAAACCGGGCCGGGCCGGGCCGGAACCGGCTCGACCCACTACTGTGCGGGCCCGGACCGGACCGGGACTGGTTGGCCGATTCCGGGCTTTTAGCCCGTTTGGGCGGGCCAGGCTCGGGCCCAGTTTTGGGCGAACCGGGTCGAGCGGGCCGGGCTCAGGCCCTGTTTTGGGCGAACCGGTCCGAGCGGTCCGGGCCGGGCCCGGGTCAAATTTTTTTTGTTTTGTTTTTTCAATTTTTTTTCTTTTCCTAGGGTAGGGATGTGTGTTTTGGGGAGGTTTGAGGGTGGGGGTGGGGGGGGTCGGGAATAACAAGAAAGCCAAAAAAAATTAGACATTGAACCGGGCCCGGCCCGGAACCGGACCGGGTCCATCCCTACCCAGGCCTAGGCCCGACCTGGACCCGAGTCCACCCTAATTTTCTTCCTTCATACGGTTTTTAGCCCATCTTATTTCAAGTTAGTTTATTTGTCAAAGAAACCCCTCATGAGCATGAAGGTAAAATTAGTATGTCAAAATTAGTATGTCAAAACTAATTTTGACATATTCAATTTTGGGGTCTACAATTCCATATGTATGTCAAAATTAGTTTTGTTGCTAAAATGCATCATACTGAAAATAATAACTAATCCTTGTTTAATTCAGATTTTCTTCCACGTACTTTTGAATGATTCGATATAACATTAACATTAAAAATGTTCAAGTTGTCCTATATAAGCGTTTTAATTGGATGAACAATCATCTAACTTTTCAGCATTCAGAATTTCAGATAAATGTTGCATATAAATATATCATATAATTATGTCTAATTTAAATGTCTTTCCTCTTTTTTGGTGGATTATTTAGACCTGGAAAACAATAAACCTGACAGACAGGAAATAAAAACTTCATTCAAAAGTAAACCAGTTGTCCACGAGTATTGGTAGAGTAAAGATCGTTGTACAAAAGGTGTTCCTTGTAGGAATTAGGAAGGGCAAGGTCAGGTTTGTTTTTAAGTTTGAAAAGTGAGCTAAACTTGTGCATGGTCCGGTCATAATTGAATATCTTACCATGGAAATGTGACAATTAAATCCAAAACAGGATGACAGCAGCAGGCATGCCAGCACCAGAGATAAGACAAATCTTTAGTCTCATCTCGCTATATAAACACAGATGTACAACAGGCAAAAATACTATGAACTAGACAGGCGATGCCTTATTACACCCCGCAACTCGTCCAGCGCAAAGTTTGCCATAGAGAACTCGTTGCTATTAAAGAAATCTCTTAGATCTGAGATACCATAGTCAAGTGCCTGCACAGGGAAAAAATATAACAACCAATACTACTTGTCAACATCTTCCCAAGAAACAGAAACATTTAATATATGCACTCCAAACCCAGATACCTTGTTTTGCAATTCTTCCAATTTCACGTCAACATGACTCAATCTTGCACCGGAACCAGACATGATTTCCTCCATGTGGATTGCATCCTTTACCAGCCCACGCAATAGATGCATGATGATTGCATTGAAGTCCCTTTTAAATGTCATATACTTTTTGAAGCTCTGTCACATGAGACAAGTCAAAACATTATTCACTTGCTGCACCGATATGCAACTATGTGAGCTTTAAAAACAAAATATATTTCCTGTCGAAAAAGTTATTCAAGTTTACACACTTCAGGTTGAAAGGAGCAAATTAATATTACTACCTTTTGCAGAGCTTTCTGGACCCCAAATTTCTGGGTTGATATAAATGAGTCAAGGAGGACTCGAATAGCCATGTCTACATCTTCTTGAGTGACATGATGTCTAAGGTGCATCCTTGCATGGGCTTCAGACATTCGAATCATTGACTCTATGTGCCTCACTGCAATAGGAACTCCTTGTCCATGCTATATACATCCAAACAGCAAAACTTAAATACATTTTTTTCTTATTGTGACTAGTTGGAACTGATTTCTTCATATAAGTAATCTTAATTACCGATGATTCTCTTCTTAATTCTGCATAGACCTGTGTGAGCTTGTCTAAATCAGCATCATGCAACTTTGGGAAAACATTCAGTTTGGCATAGGTCAGGTACTTCTTTAACATGTCCTGAGGTATTATCTGTGCATACAAAAGGACAAAATTATCTGTTAAACAACTATGGATAAATGTGACAATATCTTAGCACAAAATTGAAGCAAAAACCTCAGGGTCAAGTGGCATCAAATTAGATTCAGGATCATCCTGCGAATTTGCCTTGTTGGACTTGTCATCCAAATTGGCACCTTTTGGTGTTGACTTGCAATGACTATCAACTACAAACGTTGCCAGCATTTCATCAGTGACCGGATCAACTACATCCTGTCCATAATAAGTATAAATTTTGTCAAGGCAGCTCATACAAATCATTACTTATTATTTGGAGGGCCAAGTTCTTAAATGAAGTACATATATCATACAACCTTGACAACACAAAGAACATCGAAACGAGAAACGATTGGATCTGTCAGTTCTACATTCTGTGAGAAATTCTTTGAAGAGTCATATCTGCAGTGGATTTTTAAATACAGATTATGTAATCATAAAGACAGGAAAGATGATAAGAATAACTTTTATAGACAACTAACTAATCATCAATCATCAAATAAAGTAATTGTTTAACAAGTATTCATGCACCTTCCTCCAATAGGATTTGCTGCAGCAATCACAGAACAACGTGCTTGGAGGGAAGTGACAATCCCTGCTTTTGATATGCTTATGCTCTGCTGCTCCATAGCTTCATGAATACTCACCCTGAACCCCCCAAAAATGGTCAAGTTTTGTTGCACTGTGGATGAAAATAGGTAATGCACAAGTAATAAAAAGATCTGTTAACAAATGACATTTCCAACCTGTCTTGGTCATTCATCTTGTCAAACTCATCTATCAGACATATTCCTCTATCAGCTAGAACTAGTGCCCCACCTTCAAGTGTCCACTCGCGAGTGACTGGATCCTTGTGTACTGCTGCTGTAAGCCCAACTGCAGATGCTCCTTTTCCGGTGGTATAAACTGCCCGCTGCCCGGTTTTCTCAACATACCTTTAAAAAAAGTCTCTTGGTTAAACTAACCGACAACACTAATAACTAGTACATCAAAAGAATTCTTACTTGAGAAACTGTGACTTTGCCGTCCCTGGATCACCCAAGAGAAGTACATTAATGTCTCCTCGCAACCGATGTTTCCCATTAACATTTTTCTCTTGGCCCCCAAACATGGCAAGAGCTATTGCAGTCTTAATGTCCTCATGCCCATAGATTGATGGGGCAATAGATTTAATGATCTGATTCGATAAACAAATGTTCAAAGGTATGACAACAGAATTAGCATTCTTAAACTCCTTTTTTCTGTTTGACGTTATATATTAATAACATATCATGTTGAAATTAGAAAAAACATCATACCCGCTCTCCAATTCTTGGATCTTTTGCCAACATTTCTATTTCTTCTTTGTCTTCTTGAGTTAATTTGTAAGCTGAAAAAAGATCATGCTTCTTTGTGACATAATTTGCTTCAATAACAGTGGCAAACACAGGAAATCCATTCTTGGTATTCAAAGACAAATCAAAATTGTTTGTGTATATGCCTGTGACTTCCTGAAAATCCATGTATTGGAAAAGGAAAGGGATCAGAGTCATCTAATTTATAGCACCAACAAAGATCAAAAAAGTTAAATATATTAAGGCATTACAATCTCTTCTCCAGGACGGGCACAATCAATGAGATCGTTCAGCAGTATCACTTCCTTGTATCTAGGAAGCCGACCAGCAGGTACAATTCCTGGGCTCTCTTGAAGTGTCAGTTTCTGATAATTCCTGTAAATTGTCTGTGAAAGAGCAGGTAATCAGTCAGCTTCATATTCATGCAGATAAAAGGAATCATAAGTGATCCTTAAACCGTCACCTGCTCAATATTGACTGTGAATGGACCTTTTGACTGGCACTCAGGACATGAACCAACTTTGACTTCTGAATATGAATTCTGGAAAAAGGGGCCCAAAACTGAGCCACATTTATTGCAATCAAACTTTACTTGCTGCAACTGTGGGAAAACACCAGACCGTCGCGTAACAACTCCCCCAATACGAATTATGGAGTTCAAATGGATCTGCCTGAAGAAATAAAATTCTAGATATAAAAGTGAAATAAAAAATTTACAAAGCAGAAAAGAAGAAGAGCCATGATATTACCTGATATTACGAATTTGATCATAAATTGGTAAGTTGGTAATGCGAACATGGATCTTTTGATGTATTTTCTTATAATTTGAATGCAAGTCAAAGACAACCTTGTTCGCGACTTCCTCCATTACTTCAAGGACAGACTGTGGAGCATCCGCCAACCAGATGGCAATATTGGGGTGGACATATATAAATTGTTTATAATCAATCTCAAGGCTGCACTTGTTAACTGCAAATACAAAATAAACAAGTTGAAGGAAACGATAAATATGATAGCATAAAGGATGCCATTGTTTAACCATACACAAAAAGGCATACCTGCCACCATCTCATTTATTTGTCTCAGATAATCTTCCTGCTTAGTCTTTTCATTAACATATGAGCACAAAAACTCTTTGAACTTTTTTGCAATGAAGCGCCGAACTTCATCTCGAGTGACCCATTCCCTAATAGTTCCCTGAACCCTGTACATATCAAAGTCTCCTTCACCATTGTCCTCATCCTAAAACAAACGCCTGTTGGTTAAGATATCGGTTCAAATAGATATGAATAGAAGAATATTTAAAAAAATTATGTTGTTTATCATCTAATACTGTGAAACAGAAAAAATAACTAGAAATACGTCTAAACCTCATATGGATCATCATCAGTCTGATCAGTCATAGGTACATCTCCAGAGTTGCTCCCTCCCCCTCTCCATCTATCCCCTCCACCTCCTGGTGAACTCTGCATTGCATCACTATCATCACCACTTCTAGGTGTGGTTGGGGGCCTAAAATCAGCTCGAGTCCTTTTGGATGGTCGATAGCTGTCATCATCTGTATCTGCAGTTAAAGACACCACGATGTATAGTTTTAATGCACTACTTTATTACAGCCCAAACAAATCATAGATAAGTAAATTATTAATTTTGATGAAGAACAGCTCTTTTTAGCCTAATATTTTTGTGGTCACTAATAACCAGCAAAAATAATAAATTTATTCTTTTCATTTTGTTTGTTGAAAACTTGTTTATTGTTACCTTTTTAGTTGAGTATTTTTACAAAAACATATTTTGAAACAAGAAGTTTTTTGCAGATGGAGTATTTGATAACAACTGGGTCAAAGGTCACTTTAAGGCATGTTAAATTTGAATAATTGCAAGAAACTGATGAAGGTATGAAAACAATATATCAGGCTCACAATGTCAGCAGGAATCTCAACAAACACTCTACTAACTAATTTCTTAGACAATTTTCCAAACTAACATTTTAAACTAAGTGATACTTCCGATAAGTTCTAAACTTGCACAAAAAGGGCCAGCCCGCCCAGCCTACTCAGCTCGCCCGGACAAATGGGCGGGCTTGGGCATATATATATATTTACCCACCATGCCCGGTTGGGCTGCAATAGCATATGGGCAGGCTTGGATTAGGGTGTAGGTCCATTTGGGATGATAAGCCCGGCCCGGTACATTTAGTGTGTGTGTTTATGCAAATTTATTTATTTATTTCCATGTAGGCATGTATATTTACATTAACTAATTTATCTTTATATATATATATATATATATATATATATATATATATATATATATATATACACTATCGAATATTGGTTGGGCCAGTTCTTAACAACTAGCCCAATCAATATAATACCTATTTTTATAGTTAAAGATGATGCTTTTTACTTGAATTTTAAGATTTAGTTACACTTTTTCATGATTACTTTCGTGTAAATAATTTGTGTATATGGTGAGACTTATAAACATAATAACAATTTTTAAAATGTTGTAATATTATTTTAAAAGTATTAAAAATTGTTTTGATAATTTTGAAAATATTAAAGTTTTCCCAGGCCAGGCGGCTCAAGGGACCACCCGCCTGTTCTTATGGTTATGCCTATTTCTTGAGGGCCAGGATGGGCCTATCCACACCAATGGGCAAAAAATTAGAAAAAAACCAAGCATGTTTTTGTGCAGGTCTAGTAAGTTCCTAAATGAATTGTTAATTGTCTCATGGGATGGTACTCATTATGGGACAATATTACATTGGCGTGTTTACTGATTCCTTAAACAAATTAACTGCTACTAAAACCTATTTAAAAATCTAAGGTCAAATAGAGTGATCCCCTGCAGCTAGTTCACCCAAACATAACAGACTTAGTGTGTGTTTGGTAGGTACAAGTCTTTATCTTATAGTTTTTTTACTATTTAAAAAGTCTCTAAAAGCTCTTACTTGTATGTTTAGCACACGAAAAAATATCTTTTCATAGCTTTCAAACCTTTTTCAGAAGCTACATTGAGTAGCTTCTAAAAGAAAGTTTGTATCTTAGATAACTGTCTAACCGGTTTTAGAGACCTTCAGGGATGGGGTGTCATCCTTTTTTTAGAGAAAGTTTACAGCTTTTAACAATAATTAGACAAAACAGGTTGTTATCTGTAGCAGAACTATTTCAAACAATTAACTTTTATCAAAAGCTACAACCTTTTTCTTTTAAGATCTTTTCGATCACTTAAAGCTAACAGTTACAATTTTTCCATCTAGTCATGCCAAAATACCCTTAATAACCGAAGTACCAGCAATATTTTTAAGAATGGTAACTCACTGATGTGTTATGCAACTACAAAGTAGATCATAAAAACAGAAAGTCAGAACCTAGCAGTTCTGGATGTTATTCCACTCATTTTCATTTCATTTTCATTTACCCCAGTGCCGCAAAGGCTCCCACCTACGGTGGGGTAAGGGGGATCGGATGTACGCAGTCTTACCCATGTACTAAAGCACAGAGAGACTGTTTCCGGATGACCCATAGTGAAAATCCCGTCCAAAATTGCATGGACTGACTGCTGCTTCATAACAAAGAAGCGCAGACAGTTTAGTGAGCCATTTTGTTTTATTCCATCATAATCTCAAGCCAAAAAATAATGAATCTTTGGCTCCATTGCAAATGATGGAAAATTCTGGATGTTATTCCACTAATAATTAAAAAAAATGCCAGATTGCAAACCCTTATTAGATTTTAAAAATGAGTTCTTACAATGTTAGGAGAAGATCAGCTGAAGATATCAAGTTTAACTGGAGGGTACACACACCACACACATATATTATTTTACCATGGCATTATGCGTTTTGAGAAACTTTAGGGATTAGATTGGCATGTTGCTGTATAAAATTTAAGTTGATTATTACATATTGCTGTATGAAATTGATGGTGAATGGAACTATGAAAGCTCAAGTTTAACTCAAACACTTGACTCCGAAAACCACTCTATTGTGCTGCACTTTTACAAGGCATAAGCAGAAACAGATACGGACACTGTAAAAAGCAGTTTCATTATTGAATACTCCATACAATGTGAATTGTGAAACATAGTCGATAAGGTAAAAAAAAGGAGTAGTTTTATTTACTTTGGGAACTATAATCAAACTATAGCCATGTACATGTAGCAAGAAAACGTCTTAGGCATTGACAATTATCAGGTAAAAATTAAAAACTGATATGGTGTGGCATGCAACATACGTGAAGAAAATAACTTTATAAATGACTGGTTAACCTGCAGAGAATTGGACAAAATTTCAAATTCAAAAACAAGTGAAAGCTGGACCTTGATCGTGAAGAAGCTGAGGCAACTTGCGGTGCGAGGCATGAGCATCTCTGGTATCAAGCTCCGCTTCAGCAGCATGCCGGTCTGCTAAAATCTGATCAATACCTCTTTCATCTTCGATCGAATCGTCAAGGCCAAGTGATTCATACTGGTCTTGTTCATCCATCCTTCGGTAATCGCTGATCATTCAAAGAATTGAATATGTAAAGAAATGAGTAAAGTTGCGTTTTACTGTCCAAATAACAGAAAGATTGCACCATATCAAGTTAGAAAAAAGTGCTAACTCGAGGAAATTGTCGTTGAAGAGATCCTCTCCATCTTCCTCTTCTACCTCGACGTCAGGCTCGTCTCTAATTATTTCCGGATCAACGGCAGCCTCATCTTCGTCAGAGTAAGCCTCCGATGCTTGGCTGGTGTTGAATGGGAGTTGATCGGTGTTGAATCCCAACGACGCCGGTGAATCTGGTGTCAGTGCTGGATTCCGGTCGCCATCGTTAGAGGACACCGTGGGGCTGCTCTGACGCCCATTACGCCCACCATTTTCACCCGCCATGTCTGCGCCACTTGATTGAGTACACTGGAGTGTTGAAGTTCTGAAGAAGATAGGGTTAGGGCACGAAATGCAAACAAAAGGGAAGTTATTTTGGCGGCAATTTTAGCGCCAAAATAAAACAAATGGGCTACTGGACTTTTTATATGGGCTAAAGCTTACACTTGGATGGACCTTAAAACAATGGATGTCATCATTTTATTTTATCAATAATAACAAAACATATACTACCTTCGTCCCTTAAAACTTTACCAAAGTTGATCGTCACGGAGAATAATAAATTAAAAACTGTGTGTTTGATGTTTGTGCAGAGAAGAGAGAAATAACAAAAATCACATAATAATTGATTAAAAGAAAAAGTGGCAAAGTTTTTTGGACATCCTAAAAAGAAAAGAGAGTTATGCTAGAGGTACAAACACTTTTACAAAAAGTCTTACAAAAGGGGTATGTAGCTTCATTACATTATTTAACACATCACATCATATTTACAACACTTTTACATCAATGGTAATTAGAATAGCCACATCATATGTTTGTAAGTTTTTTTGTAAGTAGGTTTGTACTTCTAGCATTTTTCAAGAAAAGATAACAAAGTTTTAAAGGACGGAGTAATTTCAAATATATAATCAAAATAGAAGTAATAGACAAAAGTATGATCTTGGTAACTTTAATGACTATAGATGTACTTAAATGTTATAAAACTTACACATAATAATTTATAGACACATTTCTGACCATACATTTTTTACTACTAATATTTTAGGAAAAAACTCATAACAAAATGACAATTACGGTAATTTTATTTGTTATTAAATTACTACCTGCAATCCGGGGCGAAGCTACATGTAACCCCAAGGGGGCCATCCCCCCCCCCCCCCCCCCCCCCCCACCAAATTAATCAATAGATATATATTAGTATTAGTATATATTTATATTTAAAAAACTGACCACTACCCTAAAGTCTAGCTCTGCCCCTGCCTGCCATCACCAACTTCATTATTATAAATATACTAATTTAAAATGCTTAATTTGAATGTTTAGTAACAATAGAGTGCATTATTTCAGTCGACTCCACAATCTCTTTATGTTTAATATATACTTGTGTTCGTGTTTTTTTCATCACAATTAGAACTTTCGTATACGTTTTCAATATTATATTATACTCATTGATTGAAGACGCAATTAATAGGGTTATAGTGTAGTAATTACACACATGTTGATTATATAAAATTGTTACTTTCAAATTGAGGTTAGTAAAAGAATATACATTTCTATATTTTAGACACTAGTTATGTATTCTTTAGATCAATAAAAAAATATGTATTTTTTAGATGAACACGTGATGGAATATATGGGTCTAGGCCCCAGGACCCACATACTCAGAACAGAAAGCACAGCCACTACGCGGTGCCCTCGTTGGCCAGAAGACCCTTGTCGGCCGAAGAAGGGCCAACTCAGAATATGATCTTGAAACCAAGGAACCAGGGTGTCCTCGTCGGCCGTGCCCTCGTCGGCCGTGCCCTCGTCGGCCAAGACCCTCGTCGGCCACGGAAGACTCACAGAACCGGATTTTACATTTATTCATTCATGTAGCCCACCAGTGGTTCTGTATTCGGCCCAGTAGCGGTCCAGTTGTAAATGGGCCTCCCAAGCCCAAGGCTTGGGAGCCCAGCCCGTATTTTTCCTATAAATACTTCCTCTGGAGGTAGTTATGGGGGTTACAAAATCATTCTATTGAAGCATATATTGCACTTCTCTCTAGATATACTCTGTCATTTGGTGCTCTCGTTGAGAGCTAGAACAATCAAGTTAGCACCCTTCGTCGCTACCAAGCACAGCTAACCACTGATCATGGGAAGAACCAAGTCAATCCGCAACCTCGTCAGCAAGATCATCCCTGAGGACCAGGAGACCAGGGAGCACGAGGAGGATGCTACGGCCGACCAGGTCGGCGGAGGAGACGTCTTCCAGGAGGCCATCAACCTCACGACGGACCTCCGCAACCAACTCAACGGCGGAGCCCCTGATGCCCGCATCGGTCTGGACAAGAAACGAGCTGAGAAGACAGACCACGCCCCCGCCCAGCCTATGGCCGCAGCCTCTCCGTCTGTGGATCCACAGGTCCAGGCCGCGCTGTCGGTCATCATCGCCAGCTTGGCCCAGAACCCCACCGTCCTCAGCGCACTCTTGCCAAGGAATGGGGGGAACGTCACTCCACCCCCTCAGCCCCAACCGTTGGTCGTCCAGATAGGCAACGATGAGGGGGTGATGGCCCAGGACACGACGTCGTCCCACTCTCACCCCGCTTCCCCTCTTCGGCCTGGGCAGACCAGTGGAAAAGCCTCTGCCTTCAATAGGCTAGGCGACACGTGCCGTCGTCCAGTTTCGGAGAGGATGGCAGGGCGGATTGGTGAGCGTCGGCCTGGCTCGCCAAGGGAAAGCTTGGGGTCTGTGTCCCGGACAGCGGACCAGCCCCGCCTGGACAAGGGCAAGGGAAAATTGCACGAAGACGACGTGCGCCACCAGATCAATGCAGCCCACGACGAGCGCATGAGGAACCAGCAGGGCGCCGCTGCGGCCGCCAGGGACCCCCGGGACGAGGTCATCGCCCAGCTGGAAAGGAGGTTGGCCCAGATGGAGGCCAGGCAATCGGCGAACATCCCCACGGCCGGCGCCTCCAACGATCCTGGCCTCAACGCTCTCATGAACAAGGTCAGCGCCCTGGAGAGGGAGTTGGCCGAAGGACGAGGTGACCCCGTCATCCAGGTCAGGACCCGGACCCCTTTCACCAACAGGGTGCTCTCGGCCCCCATCCCGAAGAAGTACAGGGGGAACGCCATCAAGTCCTACGATGGCCGATCAGACCCCCAGGAGCACTTCAGCCGCTATCAGAACAACATGCTGATGGTGAACGTGTCGGATGAATATCTCTGCTGTTGGTTCCTCTCTACTCTTGAGGGGCCAGCGTATGAGTGGTTCAACGCGCTCCCCGAAGGAAGTATTGACTCATGGCAGGACCTTGCTCAACGCTTCCTCACCCACTTTGCCGGGAGGAAGCGCGCGAAGAAGTATTTCACCCATCTCCTCTCCGTCAAGCAGCAACATGATGAGTCCCTCCGGTCGTTCATTGATCGGTGGACGAGGGAGACCGAAGAAGTCGAGGGGGGCGATGAGCGCACCCTCCTCGTCCTGTACCAGGGGGGCCTCCGCAGCTCCCCATACGCCAGGAGCCTCATCACCGACCCTCCAAGGTCGTACGCAAAGGCGCTCCAGCGCGGGAGTTTGTACGCTGACGCCGACGAGCTCCACAACCACAAGAAGGAGGGAGGTCATCCCTCCAAGAAGACAAATCCTTCGCCGGCCCCGGGACCATCCCCGGCCGGCCAGGGTGCCCATGGCCGTCACGGCTCTGGTGGACAAAGTAAGAAAGACCGCCACTGGCGGCCGAGGTTGGAACGGCCAGGGTTGCCCTCACTCACCCGGTCGGCACCATCCTCGACTATGCCGAGAAGCATGGCCTCATCGAACAGACTCCTCGGCCGGCCGAGGAGGTCCTTGCCATCCAGCAGGGCGGCACCTACTGCCAATTTCACAAGAACTCCTCGCACAACACCGACAACTGCATCACGTTAAAGAAAGCCATCGAGCGCCTTATTCGTCAGGGGGAACTCTCCCAGTTTGTTAAAGGTGGCCCACGCAAAAAAACGTGGGTAAACACCGGCAAACCTAGGGGCGAACCCTCTACGAAGAAGCGGGAGATCGGCAGGCTCAGCGACGACGAGGACTTCGAAGAGCCCCCGCCAAAGAAGAGCCATATTCACCTCATCGTAGGTGGGAATACTGGGGGGGACTCCGTCACCCAGAAGAAGAAATGGGCTCAATCCCTCTACATTGGGGAGGTGTCCCACGTCCCCCCCCCCCCCCCCAGCCGAAGAAACAGCGAACGGAGGCGATCACCTTCACCGACAAGGATCTGCCTCCGGGTACGGAATCACATAGGGACGCCCTCGTCATCCGGTGTGAGATCGGTGACTCCATCATCCACCGCACTTACATCGATACGGGGAGCTCCGTCAACGTGATGTACCTGGACACATTCAGGCAGCTGAAGCTGGACAAAGCTCTGCTAAAGCCGATCAAGACACCGTTATCCGGCTTCACCGGGGACTCTATCGACGCCGAGGGCACGATAGTCCTCCCCGTGGAGGTCGGTGACGGCCCCCACCGCGCCAAAATTGGCACGGAGTTCATGGTGGTCAACCTCATGTGCGCCCACAACCTGATCTTAGGGCGGGCAGCACTGGAGGACTTGGAGGCCATCATCTCCATGAAACACTTATGTCTGAAGTTCCCCACCAATGGCGGCATCGGCTGCGCCAGAGGATAGCCAGAGCGTGCTACCTCAAGCTAACGAGGCCGGTCGAAAGGGAAGGATAGAGGATAGACTCCATCACGGCAGCCGTTGCCAAGGACGAGGAGAGGCCGCATGCTGAACCAGCCGAGGAGGTCGAGGAAGTCCCTCTGGATACCTCCCGGCTGGAGTGGGTCCTCAGAATCGGGAAGCAACTCCCGCAGGACCAGCGGGACGCCATCCTCCTCGTCCTACGGTCATACGCCGTTATCTTCGCGTGGGACCCGGACGACATGCCAGGCATCAGCCGCCAGGTGTTCACTCACCGGCTGACCGTCGATCCAGCCTCCGCGCCTGTCAAGCAGAAGCGGCGCTACTTATCCGCCGACTTGCGGGACTTCGTCAAAAGGGAGGTCGCCATGCTCCTCTCAATCAACCACATCAAAGAGGTGAAGTACCGGACGTGGCTAGCCAACGTCGTCCTCGCCCAAAAACCGTCGACATTCAGAATGTGTGTTGATTACACTGACCTGAACAAGGCGTGCCCCATGGACCCGTTCCCTCTCCCCAACATTGATCAGCTGGTGGACGAGACGGCGGGGTGCGAGTTGATGTCGTTCCTTGATGCTTTCAGAGGGTACCACCAAATTTCCATGCATGAAGATGACGCTTAGAAGACGACATTCATGACC